AGGTGCAAAGCAACCAGAACCAGGCTTAAGGTACCGCATCATCCTTGATGGGTGCAATGACAGCACACGAAATGTAGAACCAAACCTGAACTCCCAGTTTGCAGCAACGTTGAAACACTGCCCGTTTGTCAAAAATTGTTGCCTATTAACACGTCATCCATGGCAACTATTTTTATTAATAACATTTCTGATTTTTTTATTTGGCGTTTTTCTTGTACATGTTTTTTGCTCGCCAAAAAAAATATTCTTGCATCGGTCGCTCGCCAGTCCATTTCGTGTATATATATATATATTCACTTGAGAGCAGGCGGAGGCGGACGAAAGGTAGTGTAGTGGGAGAGGAGTGGTGTCAAAATGCTGCGCCCCTAAGATGATACACCAAAAACGTTTTTGCGCAGTCTAAGATGATTTTATCCAGAGCATGACTGCATGATACGGTGTCTTGTGCAGCGTGAAATGATGCACGAAAAGGGGTTTATCTAAAACCCCTTTTTAAAACCCCTTGCAGCAACTGTTATTGAGGCTGAAGCATACCAATTATGCTGGACTACAGGGACATCTCCCTCATGGAAAGTGTGCCTCTAATGTGGGGGCCCGTGACCGCGTCACCCGTGGGAATTGAACCCATGACCATTTTCGGGGGAGGGGGGAGGGGGGGGCCCTTATAATTGATATCCAATACATAACGGCGAGAATTCCATGAATTCCGTGGGCTGGCCCCCCAATACCCCCTAAGCTTGTGCTGAAGCACGGAGAACTCAGGTAGCTGACGCTACCTTTCGTGATTTATTTATTATGCGGTTTCGTGATGCCACTCGTATGAAACATGCCTATCTTTTGAAAAATCATGACACGTCATGATTATGCATATATGCGTGTAAATAGAGGAAACAAATGTACAACGTTTTTTTTCTTAATAAAAATTGATCTGCCCTCTTGGATCAGTTTCAATTTTCAACTTGACTCAAAAAAACGGTAGAAAGGTGACATGTTAAATCATTTTGACGATTTCCAAAATTATAAATATATGTGTGTGTGCGTTTTTTTTTTAAAGTCTCGTAAAAGGTAGTGATCTTGGAGAGCATACGTCTGGTGACGAGTGCAAATGAACGTGGTGACGGACGTGCGTACGACCCAGCGTACGTGTAAGCGTACGAGTGGACGGATGCGTGACGTACGAGTGGACGGACGTGTGCGTACGAGTGAACGGACGTGTGAGCGTACGTACGTGCGTTGACACGTTCACTCGTCACGTGCGCAAGCACGTACGAAAATAAGGTCGACTCGAGTCGGCCTTATTTCTGTACGTCTCGGTTTTTCCTTAGATAATTAGTATTGGGAAGATTCAGACGTACAGAAATAAGGCCGACTGGAGTCGACCTTATTTTCGTACGTGCTTGCGCACGTGACGAGTGAACGTGTCAACGCACGTACGTACGCTCACACGTCCGTTCACTCGTACGCACACGTCCGTCCACTCGTACGTCACGCGTCCGTCCACTCGTACGCTTACACGTACGCTGGGTCGTACGCACGTCCGTCACCACGTTCATTTGCACTCGTACCCCCTACGTTCGCCTTTTGCCTAGAGGCTTTAAAAACACCTTTTACGAGACTTTAAAAAAACTAATATATATATATATATATTATAAATCCTTTATAATGACTAAGACTGCTGGTATCGAGGGGTCAGTCTGGTAGGGCGAAACGGTGTTTTGAATTTGATCTCCGTGGAGTGGGCTCAGCAGTTTCACAGCTGAAGAAGGGTAAGTTGTCAAGAATTCGTTCCACATGGCATAGTCTTATTTTTTTCAGATATACAACGTATTGTTTTTGTGAGGGATGGGGGTTGAATTTGAGGAATTATTCAACATTTTTTTTGTTTCGGCATATCATTTTTAAATATGTTTATAATTTATAAATATTTATAATGTATATATTCAAGAATTTACAAAATGATAGGACGGGTCACCTGCCGTGATAGATTGAACGTATTGTTGTGCTTGCCTGAGGGCGGTGGATTCTATTTGCAAATTTCTTCGGGATATGCGATGAGTTGCGATGGTTTTCAGTGACCTGGTTGAAGTTCTGAATCGTAGTGGTTGAAACGTGTTCACTTGCTGAATCGTACTTTCAGAACCACACGCAGTTTCAGAAACGGTTTAGTTTAGTTGTTGAACCGTCATGGTTGCTGTACCAAGTGTAGTTGCTGAACCGTAGTTGGTGAACCGAGGGTAGTTCCTGAACCGGGGTTATATAATTGGTGAACCATAACTTCTGAATCTTAGTAGTTGAACCGGAGTTTATTCCGTTCGCAGCTACACCCAATGCATCTGACACCACATAATGCACGCGTCCGCGGACTTTGCGAGCAAACCTTGACCTCACAAATTCAAGACGCATGTGCTCGACGTTTTCTGGATTGGACACCACGCCAGAACAATGCGATTCCAAACCCTAAAAGCATTCAGAGCACCAAGGCCCCCACTCCACCGTCTCAACCCCGTGCCCACCGCCAACAACTTGCCATTTCCATCCTGATGTTCCTGCATGCTCCTCCTCCTCCTCCTCCCGCATCCTCTTCATCCCCCGCTTCCATCCTCATCAACGTAGTGTCATTGCCATCATCCTTTTCTCATTTGCATAGATCGTTGGCAACCTTTGTTGTCCGCAGTATAGTCAACGTTGTTTTGCGCCAAATTTCCATCATCCATCTCATCATTTTATCTCCGCGTTTGACATCACTACATCCGACAAATGTCCGCCTCACCAGATTGCCACTAGCAAAAGATCCCCTGGACTCGATCTTAAGAGATGTTCAAGCTAGGCTTGTCAAGCACTCCTGGTACGACAGGAAACAAAAGTCAATGCGGAAGCTTCCCCAGCATTGTGACAGGTCGCACCACGTCGCATTGTGACAGCTCCGAAGGTGAAAGGCTGAGATGCCTTGAGATGCCACTTAGTTGCACGCTGCATCCGCTACAGACGGTACAAAAGGACGTGAAACTGATCCAACCACTGTGTAAAGCACGGGGGTTGCAGCCTTCTGTTGCTGCAGTTCGCCTTGTTAGCCTGTGAGGATGGGAGTACTGCGCAAACGGTTGAACGACAACAGTACAGCAATGAAATATATAACTGTTCTTGCGCGCAAACAAGAACAAAGCAATGGTACGTAGTCTCAGCGACAAATTTTCATCGTTCGCAATCTGAAAGACTGGGCGCTTTTGCACAACCGCACCACTTCTTCTTTCCTCTGCACCTTTTCGCAAGTCTGAAGCACGGAAGGTTTGAGACTGGACCAGTCCCTGTTTTTGAACAGCTGTTGGAACTGTCCCTAAGAGTGTAGTTGGAGTTGCGGCGCGAAGTCAATGAACAAAAAAAGACTAATGTGTCATCTGCACTTTGATTTTGCTGGCACAGTAGTGATGCCAGGATTTGGAGTTTGTCTTTCTCTTTGGTTTGCATTGCAACAGTTTGCAACAAACAAACAGCTTGCATTCTTGCCAGCATGTCCTGCAGAGTGTCGGGTCTGCATCGTCTTTTTCATAGTGTTGTTGCCCTGTAAAGTTACGCGCGATTACTCCTTTGCGCGTGATATATGTTCCATGAACGTTGCGTGACTTCAAGTTCGACATAGGTTGACTGAAGAACCTGTCTAACCTGCTGCAGGTCTTCTTGCATAAAAGTATGTTCAACAACTCTCTAACTCGCAGCATCCTTTGCGTGCGCAGTTTCTATGGCATTCCAATAAACCAAGGACACTCTTTTGAATCCTGTGCCAATCACCAGACATAGAAGGGCTGGAAATGTGCGACAGGGTGAGGCCGATCACCAGATATGAAGGGCTTTCGACGAACCAAATACACCGGCGCAGTTTGCAGTGCAGGTTTTCAGGGATACAGCGTCGCAGCGTGAGCAAATATTTCGTTCGCAGTTCAGAAAGACTTGCCAGAGAGAGGACTTTGTCAGTGTCAATCGGGCTCAGCAACACCACTATATCACTATATGAACCAGTATTTCGAGATAGAGATGAAAGTTGCGACACTGAAACATGACCTTCAGATTCACCCGCAGAACCCAACAATTCTTGCGTTTCACAGACATTTCCCCAGGTGCCGCGTCAGCGCGCCAAGTGATGCCCTTTTGCTGCAACAAATCGGAGCTGCTGCAGTCCCTGACTCGGGACGTGTGCCCAAAGTTTGTTGCAGGTGCGCTTGCGCGTCACCAAAAAGCGGAAAAGACACAATGACCTGAGATCAAAAATGGCTTCGTCATAGTTGGAACCCCAAGACCACTACTTTCCAGTATCTAATATTGCACCAATTTCTGTATTTTGAATGTTATATAAATTTATACGGACCAGTTCCTGTGTTAGCCAAACAGTGTTCTGGTTGATGGCAGAAAAATACTGGTACGTTGGGCTTCTCATGCCAGGATGAAAACATTATATATCAGATGTATGTACTGTACATGAGTACTGACTGCAACATCACAACTCAATGTTGGTTCACTCTGCTTTTAGTCGGTTTAAACAAAAACATTGTGTTTGAAAGCCTGCTAAGACCCTATTTTGTTGCATCTGTTGTCGTTGAAGCATGGCAAAATCCACCCTTCCTGCAGTTCCTGCAGGATCTGAAGCAGGTCAGGTCGTCAGGTCATCTGTCTGCGGCTTTGTACAGCGCAGCTTGAGCCGACTCTGTCTCCAGTTGCCGGGGACAGAGTTTAGATATAGATGTGACCAGCGGTTTCTGATAGCCAACCATCTGACTTTAAGATGTTTGAATCCAGTTGGGAATGGTTGGAAACAACCTAAAAATCCATGATCGAAACATGTTCAAAATAAACACTCCAGGGTCCATTTTCGGGGTTTCCCCAAATGGTTGCCCCAACATCTTCCCCAGTTGAAACCATTTCAAACCAACGCTTCAGAAACACCTGGCCATTAAGATGATCGGCTCACGCCCTCTATTAGCTATGGCCCTCACCGTGGCCTTGCCACCCTAGCTGCCATCACGGGCTTCCAAACGCCTCAAAACGTCCTGGAGCATCTCACGCAAGACCTGCGCCAGTCGCAGGCTGCACAAGTTCACCGAAGATGTCTTGAAAGACCGAAAAAACAAGAAAAACAAAACATGATCACTTCAGAATTTACAATTTACATGTGATCGTAATATGCAAATTATAAAGAATATTATTTACGTACTAACTACTATATCGTTGTCGTTGGAACTATTTGTACATGTTGCGTATCTATACAAACGTCATCAAATAACATTCATTATTAATGTAGAACACTATTAAATATTATTAAGTAATGACTATATTGTTACATGTAATTGTACAAACATTATGTTCTCTCAACACAACCAGCTGTGCAACAACTGGCAGTTCAAACAAATGCACGGCATCGCGCCATTTTCCTCAAATGGGAAAGAGATACGAGGCACAAGTATCCTGGGTGAATTGGGCCAAATTGGCCAGCGAAGTTGAAGGTGAAGACCTGGCAGCTGAAGGTTCAATGAATCGTCTTGCTCAAATTTGTCACTCCAGCATTTTTGTTTGGACCTTCAGCCTTCTGCTTGGTATTCTCGGTCAGTTGCACGTATGGGTTTTGAAGCCATGCACTCAGAGAATCTCGGAGAGTGGCAGATATCTTCGTCATCCCATCTGCAAACATCAGACCAGTTGGTACCCAACGTGCTTGTTCAGGAGACACCGTTTCTTGAATAGCACGTATGTTTGTCAGGCTTCTCTTGTCTGACAAGGAGGGGTTTGGAGCTAAAATGCAGTCATACAAGCTCTTGGCATCAGTGATTTGCACGTAGGAAAGTCTGCAACCCACGCGATGCGCTGGACAGTTGTACAGCACTTCACTGATCAGCATGTTCAAGTATGCTGCACGGTCGGATCCCTCATCTGCTGCTGCTGCTTCTGCAGCAAGTGTGGACCTGCACACCCGTGGTGAGCGGCAGGAGCGCCAATCCAACACTGAAGCTCTTTGCGGAGAGTTGACTGCTTCAGGGTTGGTCACAACAATCAAAACTCCAAGTTGTGAAGTTGAGTGTGGTCCATTGCTCCAGGATGCGTCGGTATACGTTGCAATCAACGTCTGCTTGTTGATCGGTATGTCCTGGAAGGTTATGCCATGGTCTGGAGTGGCCTTTGCAAAATCCAAAGACTCTTGAAGAACCTTGAGGTCAGTAATTGTGGTTTGAAGTCCATGGTTGCTCAAACTAACTGCTGCACAAAGTTCTGGTCGAGCTTGAGAGCCAAGCCACTGCAAACATCCTGAAATGGATCTGTACTCTTTCTTCTCGGTTTCAGTGAGAAGCTCTGACTGCTTCAGTCTGCCTCTGGGAATGGAGACAGGATCAACAGTTTCAAGAAAGCTCCCCATGGTGACTTTCAAGACAGTTCTGCCTGCCGGGTTTTTGCAAAAACACAACTGCTTGCCCTTAAAGGTCTTGACCTCGTTCATCTGAAATTCAGAGAGGTCTCCCCATGAAAAACGGCTGTGCAACTCCTCAATGTTGTAGTCGCTACGATACAAGCCTATGAAATCATCCACGTAGACCATAACCAGTGATAGTGGGTGACCTGCTTCATCGTACTTGACAAAAAGCATTTTATCCCAGGAGTGCTGCACGTAATTCAAGTCAATCATGATTTTGATGACATGGGTCGTCCAAAGAAACGGAGCATTGGGCAGGCCATAAATGTTTCCCAACACTTCGTAAAGACGGGCTTTCCAACAGTTGGTTCGGTCGATCAGACCATCTCGGGGAGCAAACATGAAAAGTGCCATAGGCCTCTTGGCATCTTCTTGCGTGCCTTGTAAAAAGGCCGTGCTTGCATCGCCAAGCCATGATCTCCAAAGGTGGTCGCTTGCAGCGAACTCGCCATTGAATCCAGCGACCATGGCGGCAAACATGAAGTGTTCGGTTGATCGAGATGGAGTGGGACTTGATCGATCTAACCGAAACAGGTCTGGATCTCGGTGACCTAGAGCGACTATTCGGCATTTTGCCTTTAGCTCACCCTGACCGCGATTCTTGTCGCGGTATGCTCCTCTTGCGGAGAGCACTCGTTTGGAAAGCACAGGGTGTGCCAAAACTTTTGATGCTTCATCATCCGACAATGGTCGGATGCTCTTCCACTCAAGCCAAGAATTGGCTTCTTTTTCCACCGCTGCCAAGTACTTCTGGACCTTGGCTTCAGGTAACTTGAGAATTTCTCTCCATGGTATTTCTCGGTCAAGTTGCTTTGCCTCCTGTCTGGTGAGGCGCTGGTGCGGTGGAATCTTTTTAGTCGAGGTTGATTGTAGTTTATCTTTGTAGGTGGTGGTAGTTGGTTGTTTGTCAGTAGTTGGTGATGTTGTGTTATTAGTTGTAGTGGCAGTGGTTGGTTGTTGATTAATGTTGGTAGGTAGTTCGGTGTCTGTGTCAGACTCTTGGGTTGTGTCTGACTCATCTCCATCCTTGCCAATGTCTTGCACATCCAATTGGCGTTGATGGTGCTTGGTGTAAGCCACAAAATGTGACTTTTGGTTAGGGCCAAAACCCATTGGTGGTGATCCATCAAGGCCCGTGGCTGCCAGTTGAAGCGTAGTGCCATCGAAAATGAAGTCGGTGTAGTAGGCTTCTGGTGGTTTTTTCGATGGTTTGGTGTCGTTTGCTTCAAACTGTCTCTTCATTGGTAGTTGTGGAAGAGACTGGCTGGCCTGTGGTTGTTGTTGTGCTTCTTGTGCTGTTGGATCACTGGGTTGGCTGTGCTGCTGTGGTGGATCCATGTTGTGTGCCGTAGAGGTGATACTCTCCGCAGGTTGTTCCTGCGTTGTTTCATCATCAGGTTGTTCCTGATGGTTTGATGACAGTTGTTCTGCCATTGGCTGCATGCTGGTAGAATCAAATTGTTGATCTGCCAAAGGTTGTTCTGGTGAAACTGTCGCTTGTGCTTGTTCTGCCTCTGCCTCGGCTGCAGCGGTAATGCTTGCCGATGCTTCTGCTGTCGTTGGTTGTGTGTCCTGCCGTGGACCGGTAGTAATTGCTGGTGGAGCAGGCGATGTTTCGCCTGTCACTGCTCTTGTACTTCGTCGTGGTGTGCGTGATGTCCCACGCGGTGGTCTGCCAAATGATTGGTAGATGTTGGTGGTATGCTGGTGGGTTTGCTTGTAGGTAGGGCTGTCGACTTGTTGAATGGTAGTTGTAGTGTTATTGATTGTTTGCTGGTTTTGTTGTTGTGATTGTATCTGAAGTGGAGGTAATGTTGGTGTAGCTGGCGCTGCTGCAATCGTATGTAGTGGAGTCGGTGGTATGGCTGTCATTGTTGGTGGTGGTTCAAGCTGTGAAGGTTGTAAGTCGTCCTCATTGGTGTGTTCTGGTGGTGGTGGTCCAACATCATCTTCAAGGTCCTTGATCATGTGGTCATGGAAAGAGGCCTGAGCATCTTTCAAGGCTCAAACATCTTGTTCTGAAGGGTTCCAAGTCTCGAACCCTGTTGCCGAACGCAGCTGTTCAGCACTGACCAGCGTACTGGAATTTCCAGTGCGCACCCATGCAAGTCGTTGTGGCGCACTTGGGTCCCAAGATAGAAACCTTGAGATGATCCAGGAGCCCCTCTTCTTGGGTCCTTTCCTCTGCCAGCGCCAAAACGCGCATGGTTGCCCTGGTTGTAGTTCTGGGTATCGTGTGATGTTGGTCTTCCTCAGCAAGGCACGTCGAAGTTGTTGAGAGACGTTCAGGTCAATCAAGGCTCGTTGTGCTTCTGACCTCACAAGCTCAATCTTGGCCATGAGGTTGTTGGGCTCGTTGAGGGTGGTTGCACTTGAAGTAATGCTGGTCTCGTCAGTGATGACTCCGCCTGGTAGACGGGGAACACGTCCAAACACAGCTTGAAAGGCTGACCTGCCCCTGGTAAACGTTGAGCTATTCAAGGCATGAAGTGCTGGTGTCAGCAAAAACTCCACATCCTCAACACTTTGAGCGGCCCACTGGTCGATCAACTTCTCCATGATGATGCGAAGGATGCTGTTACGTCGTTCCACAGCACCAATCTGCCAATGGCTCTCAGCAGGGCAGTAGTCCACCACAACGCCAAGTGACTCCAATTGCCGTTGGAATTCTCCACGGAAACTGGGGTCCGGATCCAGCAAGACCCGATATGGAAGTCCAAAAGGCTTCAACCAGAGAGTGACCATTTTGTTGAACACGTCGTTGGAGTCCTTGGTAGGGCAAGCGACTGCTTGGTGAAGTCCGCTGGCTCGGTCAAGTAGTCCAAGGACAGGCACGCTTTCACCATTGATGGTTCGTAAGAAGACGAAGTCGCCTTGTAGTTCATCTCCAAACTGTCCAACGGTCATCTTGGCTAAGGCTGCTGGTCGTGGATGTTGTGGTGGCTTCAATCTGTCGCATGTTGCACACTTCAAGTGTTGGATGCACATGTTGACTGATGGTGGTGCTCCTCCATGATAAGCTATCATGCGTGAAAGCTCTTGTGGTGAAGGATGTCCCAGGTTCAGGTGAAGTCGTGCTACCAACTTCCGGATTTCAAGTGGTATTTGTTGTTGTTGTGGTAGTCCTGGAAAGGTGATGTCGGTTGGAAGGTCTCGAATGGGAATGACTGGGTCAGTTGACATGGTTGGTTGTTGAACTTCTTGCATAGTTCCATACATGAAAATGCCAAACTGCACTGGTTTCTCAAAACGTTGCTTGGGAAACTGAAGGTCTGGTAAATGGTCAAGTTCAACTCTGATGGTGCCATCAACGTACTTCAAGATGCATGCTCGATGAGTCATCTCGAGCAGCACTGTAGTTGGTAACCTCCTTGTCGTTGGAGTGTGGGCCACTTGGATGCGAGACGCATTCATCCGAATGAGCCTTGACATCTCTTGTCCACTGGTCGAAGTTGTTTCGACTGTGTAGGGTCGGCTGCTGCTTCGGTTGAAGTGCTCTTCAATGTCATTGAAAATTCCCTTCCAAGCATCCATGTCTTTCACAGGCTCTGCCACGGCAAAAACCTCGTTGATGTTGAAACGAAATGGTTCTAGACGTTGGATCACTTGCCTCAAATGCCTCAAAATAGCATTAACCAAGGCATCTGGGTACTCTTGGCTTTTCTTGGTCATAGCACCTTGAATGGGCTGACACCATTGCTTCTCATGTGCTGATAGACGCTTGTGGATCACGTCTTCAAGTCCAGGGACGTTGCCAACGAAGCGCATTGGTTTGATGATCATCTGACCATCAATCTCCGCACCCCAAGCTCCTGCGTCAAGGACTATGGACCAAACGCCAGGCATGTTGAGAAGCTGAACGACTGCTTCCAAGAGCCAAAGTCGTGATCGTTCAGGATTCTCAAGTAGGAAAAACCTGCCATTCTGGATCTGAATCAGGGCAACTTCCACAGCAAACAACACCAATGGCAACTCCAGCTCACGAAGTTGTTGAAGTCGTTGGCGGTCCTGGGAAAAGTTGAGGTTCTCAGAGAAGATGTTCCAGAGTCGACAGTCCACTCCAAGAACTATCAGCCATGGTTTGAACTTGCGAATCATCTTGAAAACATCTTTTCTGACAGATTCGTCTTTAAAGTCCTGGTGTGGTCCATGAGCAATGTCCATGGGAGCTAAGGCATTGAGCTGGTGCTTGACCGAGTTGGTGGTAAACTTGGAGCTTCCGCTGAAGAGCTCAAATAGGTCAATGTATGGTGGCGGTCGACTTGCCACTGGTTTCACATTGTTGTAGATGTTGAGCTCTGCCTCATAGACCTGAAGGGCACGCTTCAAGTTGCCGCGCAACTTCTTCAGGGAACCACATGGAGGTCCTCGTGGTCGCTGTCCTCGATCCACTCCGCTCCGTCCAACTCGTTGTTGAGTATCTGGTGGGCGGTCATCTCGGTTTGGAGAAGTCCCTCCAAATCTTGTTCGTGCTGTTGGAGATAGTAGTCGTCGAAGTTCTGGATCATGTCGGCCTCCATCATCTGCATGTCCTCCTGAGGAGTGTTTTGGTCGGCCATCTCCTGTCGAACTCTTGCCAAGATTTGAGTCATGAGCTCTTCCCGTTGCTCCCTGGTAAAGGTCAAGGAAGTCGTAGTAGAGGCTCGTGCTTTGGGTCGAGCTTTGGCGGAGGCTCCCATCCTTGACGAATTGGTCGAGGAAGCTGCTGCTTGGCTCGACAGGGCCCCCGCTCGTATGTTCTCTGAGCATGGCAAGGGCAATGGTGAGGATGGCGACGAACCCATGAAGTCCCAGGTTTCGGTTGACTGGTTCCATTTGAACCGAGCGCTGCACTGAAGGCACTTTGCAAATCGGCCGTGTATGTTGCCGTACCTCTTGGTCTTTTTGTGCTTGCAATCTCGCATGTCCAACTCTTCGGGCTCGGTCATCCATGGTGGCCTGAAACCCAGGCCCACTGCCTGACGCAAGAACGTCAGCACTGGGACCATGAGTCTCCTCCAGTTGTTTGCCTATCGAGGTGGTGCACGCATGGGAGTCAAAAACGCTGGTTGTAGACACTGGCTCAGCTGCTTGAGTTGTTGTAGCTGAGGTAGTGATTGAAGTGAAGATCAACTCTGGGTCTGGTGTCTTCCAAAACGTGGGATGTGAAAAACTCTTCCAACATGAAAGCATGTGAGGCTCACTGCACGGAAAATCCAAAATGTCGATGGCAAAATGTCCACCGATCTTCATCAAAGGAACTTCAACATCCAAAGTTTCAAAATAAACCACATTCTTGCACATGTCAATGACTGCATGTAAACGTTCAAGAAGTTTATTGGAACCCAAGAGTGGAATGTTGGCATCCAAAACGGCAGTAGCTCTAACAACATTGTTTGACCACCAATTCCAGCAGGCAAATAAGCTCGATGAATAGCTGAAGTGGGACTTCCCAAACCAAACTGAAAAACATCTGTGGTGCGCACCTCTTTGTGTCGAAGGCGCAATTGTTGCAGCTGCTCTGCATGGGCCTCAAACCAAGTCAAACCGCAGCATGTTCTCTGGCATGCTGAGTCGAGGATCATCTTGCCAACAAACTCGGTGGGGTTGAAAGCTTGTACTTCATGCACATGAAAACTAGGGATATTGGGAATATTGACCATGTTGCAAATGAAGGCATTGCCAAAATCTTCTTCGGCATGATCTTGAATCTCGAGGTGACCATGTTCATGATGGACAACCGGAAACGCTTGCTGAGTCTTTTGCTTTTGGTCAGGCTGGGCACGATAGCCAGTGTTCTTGGCTGGTGGACGGAATTCCGTCTTCTTGGAAGCACCTTTGTTCTTCATGGGGCAGATGTCATCGTCTTTCCAATGACCTTTTTCACCACAGGCTGAACAATGCGAAGTCATTTTTCGCTTAGCGATGTTGGACGCCGCATTGTTGGAGTCAGGCTTCTTGGTGCTAAACTTCCGTCCAAGTGTCAAACCTGCTAGACGACGGGCAGTCACCGTGAGAACTTGGCTGAGTTGCTCCAAGTCCACTTCACCTCCAGAGTCACCATCGTCGTTGCCATCTTCTGGAATCATCTCATCAGACTGCTGTTGATCATCGTCATCGTTCTCCTCATCCTCATTGGCTTCAGCATCCCCTTCTTGGATGGGGTCCAAAGTTTCATTGGCATCTGCATTGAAAACAGTCTTGGATGAGGTTGCAGCAGTCCTATGTGAGCTAGAACCCTTACCCGAAGAAGATGGGTAGGAACGCGATGAACTTGTGGAAGGCTGAGAAGTCTGAGGTCTGTCCCCTTTCCCAGGTCCTTTTCCATCTCGGGAGGCAACAGGTGGAGCGCCTCTGAAGTCCGGAAACTGCAAAGTCAGGGCCTCAGCAATGGCTTCAAGGTCAAGCCGCTGTGATGTTCCAACCAAAACCAAACGTTGTGCCTCAACCGTCAGTCCGCTTCTGTCCAACAGTCTTGATCCAAGTGCTTCAGAATCATAAGTTGCAGTGACATCCACTCCCACTGCACGGAGATTTCTGATTGAACGTCTGAACCGCTGGATGTATGTGCGAATCAGCTCACCATTGAGACGGCGGAGGGTCTCATACTCATGCAAAAATTTCCTCTTCTGAAAGATGGCACGCTGCTGAAATGGTACCTGTAACTTTTGCAGAATCACGTTGATCCCATCCTCATGGTGAATTTCAGAAATTGCCACATGTTCCAATTCCTGTTCCGCATCACCAGACAAACTGTTATACAGCATAAGGGCTTGATCCTTCTTTGGGGCATAGGGCATCATCTGAATCTCCCATATCTTGACCTTTTTGCAGAACTTGTCATAGGCTCGCAAATCTGACATATCATACCGCCAGGATGGCGGTGTTGGTGGAGGACCACTCTTCCAACGAACCTGAGGCTCAGGGCCCATTCGTGAATTCCAATCTGCACTGCCAGGACGCTTGTCGCTCTTGACAGGAATGCCTGAAGCTGCCAGAACCTCTGGTGAGGCATCACGCAAGGCCTGAACAGATCGATCGCTAGAAGCCCGAAATGCGGGAGAGTGTTTCGGCGCTGGTGTTCTCAACTGTGGGGCATCACCATAGTTGTTGGGGTCCACACTTGGGTCAAATGTCATGGTCTCGGACTCTGGATTCTCACTTCCATCGCCGCCATGGTCACCGCCAGATGGCATGCCAGCCGCCGCACGCAGTCGTCGCCTGCGTCGTCTTGAGGCAGGTGAAGACTTCGGGGTAGCTGAAGATGCAGAACCTTCAGGTTGCTCATCATGGCGATTGTGGGGCAAATACATCCATGTCCCTGACGCTGTGACAGACTTCCTAGGAACCGTGGTATCATAGAACTCCTGTGGACCACACCGATTGCACATCCATGCGTCAAAGGTTCCAACATAGTTAGCAGAATCACACTTAACACAACGCCAGGTCAAGTCATTGGGCTCATCCAAAGGCGCTGGAGGGGCATCTGGCAAACCGTCGGACCGCAATGACGGGGTCCAATCTATGAAGTTCGACAATCGCTCCATCGGGTCACCAGATGCATCCATGCTCCGCTACCAACTCAACACAACCAGCTGTGCAACAACTGGCAGTTCAAACAAATGCACGGCATCGCGCCATTTTCCTCAAATGGGAAAGAGATACGAGGCACAAGGATCCTGGGTGAATTGGGCCAAATTGGCCAGCGAAGTTGAAGGTGAAGACCTGGCAGCTGAAGGTTCAATGAATCGTCTTGCTCAAATTTGTCATGTTCAACCATATTTCTATACAGACAGTGTTTGTAACTGGTGATGTACATGCAATTGTACTGTATACACATGACGTACCGTTAACTGTAAATAATTTGTTTTTGTTGCACATATCAGATGTTGATGTTTTCTTCATATTTTCACATCATTGCCAGATGCAAAATTGTCCACCACTGTCGATCTTTTTGGTGATTTATAATTTGTCCAGATGATGTTTTCTCCACGGGCTTGTCTGAAATTCATGAGTTCTCTCTAAAATGAAAGGGAAAAATCCGGAAAACCCACAAAAATCATCAAACATGTCCAGATGTCCAACTTTGGATTACCCAAAACTCAAAAAAAAATGAGTTGCGTTCACCTCCTCCTGTCGCATGGCCGTGAGCTGCGTCCAAGGCGTAGCCAGGTGTGCGTGTTCCCTGGTTCATGGGGAACATCACAGGGTAAATCATGGTAAATAGTGTAAATATGGATGAATAATGATTAAATCATGATAAATCATTATTAAATCATGGCAAATCATGAGATTTCTGACGGCGGCAATCGAAAAAAAACACTTTTTCAGAGAAAAAAAGGGTGAAGTCATGTCTACGGGCTACCAATGCTACCAAAGGATCAAAAGGCCGGTCGTTTTGAGGAAATTAATCATGCTTGAACTGGGGCTACAGCAGATAATTTTCATCCACATCCATGTGGCTTTGGGTTGGCCCTCAAGAATACGCAAAAATTGGGCATAAAGTGCTATCCTATGAGCAATGAAACGAAAAACTGTGGTATCAGCACTCCCTGCAAGAAATGAAATGGCAAGCAGCGAGCGCAAACTTTTCCACTGGGCACTGAAGCCAAAAGTCCGGGTCACGGATAGTTTTACCCTGCACCCGCTGGACGGCTTTAGGACATGTTTATATGTCACAGTGCATGTACAAACTGTAGATTCCTTGGGTTGCATGTTTGATGTAAAACCGTACCAGTAGTTAATTACATGCAACACGCATACGAGGAAGGAGCCCAAAGGCTTCACAACCAAGGCATTGATGGTGTTTCTACATGACTTGAAGTTGGCGACCTTAACCCTTCATTTGGTGATACAACTACTTTGGCACAATTGGTACTTTTGCTTGAGTTTATCCTTCTCCCCCTTTTCGCAATTAGGCGACTCGACCGGTTGATTCGAGCTTTACAGGAGAAACTCAAGGTGGTTGATTGACATCAATTCGAGAGCATTTGGCCATTTGCACTGCTCTACGGCTTTCGTAAAAGGGTCTGCACGCTGTAATGCTGTTTTGACATACTGTAGTTTCACGTTCGGGCCTTCGAATACTTCATACAGAGATGACAGATTCAACTTGTGAACTTTCTTCATGTGTCGAAGTTTCAGACTAACGGCCATGCACGATTTGGATAACTGATGCATTGTCTTGTTGACAGATCAAATCAATCGGCCTATGCAAGGTAGTCTCGAACAGCTCTTGCATGGGCAACCCTTCACCGAAAACTTCAGACTCTAAACTAATCATTTCAGCTTCACATGTGCTACTTGCAGTTGCTCCTTGGCCAGAAAGAATTTGGACCTTCCAGTGTGAGGATCATGCCAGAAGTTGACTTAACATCTTCAACCCCTGCGGCCTTGTCGGCGTCAGTATTTAGGCCAAGGCGCAAGGCTTTGGCACCATCAAAGATCCCACCCTCTAAGACATACCCGCAGTACCCTTTAGGTATGACATCAAACGAATCTGCGATCATCTGCTTTTGACCAGGTAGTAATTCTTCGAGCTAAATCTGATATTCCTTTCATCAGATCCGGCCTAGCCAGTCTCGCACTCCAGAAAATCTTCATCAGTATTTTTGATGCGTCTCCGGCCATCTGACCACGTGTCTCAAAGTCATTGTCGACCAATGAACCTTCGGCTAGAAATGGTGTGGAAGCTGTTTTCAACGTGCAAACACTCAACTCCTCGTACGCTTTGCACGCATTTTCAGCAAAATCCTTCATGCCAAACTGCATTGTGGCTCTATGTTCAGTTTGAATGAGTTTGTTGCGATTTCACAATGTCCTTTTTGACCTTGTCCCAGAAAGGTTTATGTTGGTTTCTCGGGCCGCTCAACACCATGTCATCCACATATAGAGTCAACATAAGTCCATTGCCCTTCATCAAGTAAGTTGATTGAAACGTGTCGGAGCAATGAACTGAACCAATTTCACGCATCATCTCCTTAAATCTCTGATCCCAACGGTACCCTGCTTCAGGATGGCCGTTTAAGCTTTTCCAAAGGCGGGCGCATGGTCTTTTGATTCCTTGGAACTCTGGTGGGACAAGTTCATTTGGAAGCTCAACCCATGTTGGAACCTTGGTGTTTAAGAAACTTTGGGTGTACGCACGAACAACGTCGCTTTGCGTCGTTGTGTGCCCCTTCAAGCAACCATACGCCAAGTTTGCATTGATTCCAGCCAAGCCGGATGGATTGACTTTTGCTTCCTGCAGCACCGCTAGGTTATTGTCATTGTTTTCATCACGGATATCATCTCCCCTGAATACTATTCAAGATTTTAGTCTACGAAGTTCTTTATTCTCCCAATGCTTAACTGACAGAATTGTCATTAATCTACCCACATGTGTTGGCTCTTTCCGTCTTAGAAGTTCATCCCTTGAAATTACTTCATCGTAGTTCCATGTACCGTTCTGCACGATTCCGCTCAACTCCTTGTCGATGGCTTCCTTCCAACCTGGGTGGTTGTGCCAATGTTTCCTGTCTAAGAGAAGGTGGATTCCAGCATAATCTGGCTTTTTGTCTTGGAGGTTTGGTTCATAGGCTGATTTCTTCAAAGTTTTTGCGGCCATACCCCAAACTTTTGAATGCGATTTCTTATTGGGTTTTTGCGACTCATCTGCACCAATCACTACAGATTATTTTTGTCATGGAGGTAGGGGCACCTTTCCCCTTTGGTGCATGAGTCGAAAGCAAAGTACATACACGGTTGTTTTGCTTTGTCTGCGATTTGGTACCAGTCTGCGAACCTTTTTTTCCCTTACCATTCCCCTTTGAAGTTCCTGGGGCTGCATTCATGCTGCAGAATGCTCTGAGGTTTTGGATCCTTTTTTATCCTAGCCTTTGTCCTTTGGTACCTTTTCAGCTTTCTTGTCTTTCGTCTTTTGAGATTTGTCCTTTTTGTCTTTTTCTTCCTGAGGCTTTTCTTCCTTTGTCAGGATTGGCAAGGTTTGCATTTACCTTTCCGCCTGTTGTCTGCAAAGTTTTCCCAACAAATGACGTATTCTCGTCTTGCTAATGCCATGCAATGGCTTCCTCACCGCGATCAACCAACCATTGTGACGTACTTTTACTGGATGTTCCCTTGGGTGCCCGGTACTTATCACTTGCTAGGGCTAGCAAAGGATGGTGCTTGAGATTTTCATACAGCATTGACCGGAGTGCGGACTCTTGAGCCATTTGGCATTGTTCTACTGATCCCATGATGTAATAAAACTTCTGTCTGAACTCTTCCAATGACTTCACATCTTTTCCATTGAGCTTCAGGCTTATAGGAGATGGTGTTGGCTGAGGCTGGCACCAGGATCCTTGTCGAGGCTGCACTTGTTCAGGATGAACCATAGCAAAAGGCAACCCGAAGGCTTTGCCCACTTTCTGACACTTCTCTTGCAATGTTTGAAAATCTAGACGGAACCTGGTACCTCGAGCATTTTCCAACAACTTGTGACCCAAAGTTCGATCGAGCACTGGATAGTTTCCGACACTTGCAAATTCAATTGGATCTTTGACGGAACTGCATCTTTGAATCCATGCAACCAAAGGTGTTTCATCTCCTTTGCATGTTTTGCAAACGGCCGACACAACTTGATTCTTGAATCCACAGCATTCAGCTCCCTTCTTTGGGATGGCAGCAATCTTAATTGAATCATACCCTTTAACCCGCATCACCTTCTTTCAATTTTGTAAGGATCTTTCTCATCAACTCGAATGAGTGGTGAGGTGCATTTGAACCACCCGGTGATCCCCCGATGATGAAGAAGACCCTGAACTTGACGCTTTTCGGGAAGGCGATCTTGATGCTGACTTGATTTGCTCCACTAAAGACGACAGCTGGTTCTAAAAGTCTCATACGGTTGTGTTGACTTTGAACCTTTCCCCTTTACTTCTTTTGGGAACTTGCTCGCCGGAGTTGTGACCCTCTAGGAACTTCCCCAGCAACTGGATGGAGCCGGAAGGCTTCGCACCTGTTGCCGAGGTGCACAAAGGCTTCGCATCGGCACTGGCATTGGCATCGGCAATGGTGGAGCTAAAAAGCTTTGCACGGGGCATTGATTCCTGGGCTTGGGACGGATCCACATTCAACATGAAACCAAGTGATCCTGGACCTGACTGGCTTCCACGACCTACTGGAGTACTAATATCTAAAACACCGCGCCATTGTCGGCTTCTGTGGATTGTGATCCCATAGCTTTTGTTTTAGATCTTTCAATCTCTTGATTTTGGAATTGGAATTGGTGCAATAGCGATTCATATGCCCTTTCTTCTTCTTGGAATTGTTTCATCAACATTTCACTTTGCCTGGTTTGTGCAATCAATCTTTCTTGGAGTCGCGCATTGATATGAACCAATTCACCCAACTTTCCTTCAAGGACATGAACTCGGTAGCTGCATGCGATCTGAGGGATGCTATTTCAGTCCGGCATTGTGCCTTTACGGCCTCAAGTTCTTGGGATACTCGGATACTCTGTTCAAAGCTTCGGTAGCTTCAACCCTAGCGGAATTCAATTCCATTTGAGATTGTGCAACTTGGATCTGAGACTCCCCATGTCACCCTATTGGCTTCTGACTGAACTTGACCCACAACATGCAGGGTTTCTGCCCTAGCCTCTTCTTGGACCCGACCTACAAAACTAATTGCCTCAAGTCTCAATTCCTGACGAGACTGTTCCAAAGCACCGTTAGCATTACCAATGGCCTGATTGGCTTGAGCGATGATGAAGGGATCCATGGAAACGTGAAAATGAGGCCCTGCTGGACCCATCCCCTGCCCGGTGGCATTTGAAATGGATTCCTTGGCACATTTGGTGAATGTTCGACTGATTGCACAAACTGCGAAAGTGTTCCATCAGGGCTTTGATTCGGATGTCTCACATTTTTCAGCTGACTTGGATTTCTATCATTTGGGGTGGACATTGATTCGGAACTGATAGGGTCAGATGGTGTCCCAACTCTCACCTGAAGTGCGCTGGTATGAACAGTTCTATCTGACCTAGATCTATCTTCATTTTCCGAACTGTCCCTATCGACCTTGGCCTCGAATTCGAACATTTTGCCACAGCTCCGGGATCTTTGCCACGACTTCACTAACGACGTCCTCTTCACAATCTTCAAGGAACTGCTGAACTTTGCTCGGTGCAGTTGCAGATTGTTTCCGACAAAGCTTGATGTGACTGGCATGAAGAAACCGACAATTCTTGTCAATCACCTCACAATTGTCGTCAACGATTGTAGCATGGCACTTCCTCTGGGTCACCCCGCCCAAATAGCCTGAAGCTTTCCAAATGTTCCGATCCCCTGACGTGTGATCACCACGAAGCTGATGAGCTGACCCAAACCTGGAATGCTATTATTGCAGCCATCAATGAAGTTATTTTCGTTCTTGCTCGAGCTTTCGATGTGGCTCACCACTGAGATCACGAGATTATTGCCAAGCTGATCCTTCAACTTTATCAGCAACTAGAGCTTTCCTGCAGAACAACTTTGGTTGCCCAAGCCGATTGAGTCCGAGACCTGTCGGTTACCTGATGCCAACCAGATTAATACGTTTTGTCGGCCTGCAACTCAGAGTATACTCCCAATGCGCCCACAAAACCACGGGTCGAGAACTCCCTCAAGAATCCCCTGTCCCAGGTCAAGTATCGAGCTTTTTCCGGAAGGTAATACTGAGGAATCAACGCCTGCTCAACAGTCTTTGGTTTCGCTTTCACTGGAGGTGCCAGTGATTGAGATTCTGCTGGACCCTTTGGCCTTTGCTCCAACACTACCAAGCTCCTGGTCACTGATCCTTTTGGAGGTGGCGGCAACAGAGGCTGAGCAACCGAGGCAATCCTTGATGGCCCCGAGCTGGATGCTGCTTCAATCACTTGTTTAGGCACCGGCGATGGATCTTTTCGAGCTGCTGTGATCCTCACCCTCTGCTCAGTTTCTACAACCTGTCGAGATGCGCTTGCGAATTTTGGCACTGAACCGCTTGGAGTCTTCGCCTTTGCAATCACAACCCTTGGAGACAATGATGAAGCTGTAGATTCAACCGAATGGCCAGGTGCGGACCGCAGGGAAGTTCGGGAACAACCCAGCTGGGTGGATGAGCTGGCACCCAGGTCGAGAAACCTCTTCAGTCTCTTCCTCCTCCCACTGATCCTCCGCCTCCCCAATGACTTCCCACCTGACGGTCGCCCGCGAGTTAGTCAAGAAAAATTCGTCAAGAATGTACGGGTATTCGTTGGAGAATGCACCACTTTGTAATCCTTGTTCAAGAACTGCTGTCTTCTGAGATTGTCCCCTACGGCCCGACCGATGCCAGCCGACTGCCCGCCAGAGAACGTCCCCGATGGAAGTTATCTTTGCTCCCGCCAAGAGGCCGATTTAACGGCAGCTAAAGGTTCGAAAACAAGACACGCAGAACTTGGTGAGAATGTAGATCTGAAGCCCTACGGCTGATAACCACGAAAAACTGTGGTATCAGCACTTCCTGCAATAAATGAAATGACAAGCAGCGAGCGCAAACTTTTCCATTGGGCACTTGAGCCAAAAGTCCGGGTCACGGATAGTTTTACCCTGGACCCGCTGGACGGCTTTAGGACATGTTTATATGTCACAGTGCATGTACAAACTGTAGATTCCTTGAATTACATGTTTGATGTAAAACCGTACCAGTAGTTAATTACATGCAACACGCATACGAGGAAGGAGCCCAAAGGCTTCACAACCAAGGCATTGATGGTGTTTCTACATGACTTGAAGTTGGTGACACTAACCCTTCATTTGGTGATGCAACTACTTTGGCATTGGCACAAGTGGTACTTTTGCTTGAGTTTATTCTTCTATGAACTGATCTATTTTAGCAATATTTTTGGTACAGAGAAGGAGAAAAACAAAGTGTAAAGGTTCCAACCCTTCACGCTCACTCTCATGGTTTGTTTGCCCCTGTTTCATCCATTTTGAGGGTCATTTCAGGAGGATGTTAGTTCCCGACGTTCGCCGTTTCCATTCTCAGGGATCTCATTTAGCCCACCCATGTGCCCGTTTTTGAACCAGAAGATCAATGAAATCAATACCCATTTACATCCATTTGGATCTGTCTGAAAATGGTGTATAGCCCCAGCCATTTGAGTGGGAAAATATCCATTATATTCACTAGCCAATGGGAAATCTCCATTATATTCACTGGTTATTAGCCCCGTAGTGGGAAATATCCTCGAAATATCCATTGGATTTGGAGGTACCCCATTGTCAGACCCAGCTGAGCAGCGCACGAGCAGAGCTGCCGCAGCTGACGCCGGAGCTGCTCTTCCACCCCCGCCAGGGAAGGGCTTGCCTGACGTCCGCAATGTCCGATTCGGATTCTGCAGTAACTTTGTAGAATTAAAATATTAGTACATAGAGTCATAGAGTGGTGATAAGGTATGAATGAATGAGTATGCTCAAAACAAGAGAGATGGAGAGATGGAGAGATGGAGAGATGGAGAGATGGAGAGATGGAGAAAGAGAGAGAGAGAGATATATATATATATATCTGTACGTTTGTACGAACAACTGTGTTCCCGCAATACCGAAACATGCCGTGGAGTTCATAACTCAAAGGGGGGTTAGACGAATCAACTCAAGCCCTAAAAGAAGTTTGCTCACTTTGCAATGCTGGGTTCAGCTAGCCAACCTGAGTGCCAATCCTCGGACTTCAATACTCACATTGACTCCAGGGCGCTACCCGTACCCCTCATGGCGCACCGCCACAATGTCGGGCACCGCATCTTCAAGTGGACCTATGGAAGGCGTCAATCGCATCCGACCTGACCACCCAGACGAGTCTTGGTGACCTCTTTGATGCTGTTTGCTGTCTCAGAACAGCCCACTAGGTTGAAGCTTGAAACGAGAACGGCTTAAAGAACATTGCTTTGCATAAGGCCACTACACACTACACAGTCCAGCTGTTCCTTTCAACATCTTTCAACCAATAATTCTACGAAAGAGAACAGGGCTTGGTTGACCCATTTGGATCCCGAGGGATGTTGGACATCACCCGCATCTACAGATGATGGAGATGATCTCTGTTAGGCTCAAGGTCTGCAAAAAATGAGGATAATTTGCCAATCTGCAACACTGAAATTCTCAAACATTCTCAAACATTCTCAAACATTCATCACTCAAGGACAACCCAACTTGCCCAACACCCACATCTGAAAGGCCACAGCCTCTTCCGTAGTCACTCTCCAAGATCGAGCGATGTCTTAGCAGCTGAAACGTTGCAAACCAGACCCACGGCTGGTTTGAAACTTCAGATACCCTGGCCGCCAAAAAAATCCATGGTGTTTTTCTCCGATCTATGACTTTTCCAGCGAAAGAATGGTGGAATCCCATTGCCCGGTTGGAGGACAACCCAAGCAGTACGCTTCCAAGTCACCATCTTCACCACTCCAATGGAGAAACCTTTGTATTTCCCTCAGCACCCGGCTCCAGAATCAGGTTCGCAGCTGCACTACCTGCCACAAGAGCCGAGGTCCGAGATCTATAGTCTCTGCTGACTCCCACACCAAAATAGATGGTCGTTCTGGATGTTCATTCCCCCCATCCATCCCCATCCAGATGGTCCCAAAGTATTACCCCATTTGTTAGTCGTTGGTAGTGAAAACATGTGAAAGCCATATTTTATGGACCAACATGTGAAATCCCCCATACTATGAATGCTGGAGATTGCCCATAACTGGCATTTCATTCTTAGTAAAAGCACACTGCAAATTCGCATCCGCGTATTGCTATGGCTCCAAATTGTTGACCTCCCGATTTTTGGCTCCAAGTTGACCCTCGCTTTTGGGAACAGGTAAATCCCCAAAAAAATGACTCATTCTTGGGGGTCCATGACCCCAGGACACACCTGTTCCTGTGAGGTCAAAGGCCACTTGTGCCAAAAGCTCGGACACGCCCAAAGTCATGCGCAGTGCCTCGGCGCATCTGGGATAAAACCCATCAAAGAGGGGGATCTTCTGGGATCCACAGCCCATTTTAGACATCCAATTAATTTAAAAACATAACTTTCAAACGGGATTGACCCAAAAATACGTTGAACCATTTCAGTACCTGGTGGTTCACCCCACTTAGTAGGTGATAACTCCAATCAAAAGTGACAACGAAAACCTGCTCGCAACGAACCACATTGCTTCTTCCGAAGAATGGCTATATCTCGCCAAACATGGGAATCAGTGGGGCCCCTGGTCATCCAGCCTGAATGGGATTCCCCAATTCTTCCCCAGTTGATGAGGGTAGAAAAATCCTGTTTTCGTAGGGGTGTCAAAAATGTCCATCCCCTTTTGTAGCGGTGTAGCCTGGAAGCCATATTCATGGCCATATCCAAGTTCAGAAAATCATAGTCACAGGCAACATATTAATTTGGGGTTCCATACTCCCAGAAGTTGACAATTGGATATAATTGCAGCATCGCCCATCATAACAGCTTGCCCTCCAGTAAATATTTACATGGACCCTGCCATAGTTTTTGGGGCTTGGAAGACTATATAGTTTCCCAAACAAAAAACAGTGTCTAGTGTGTCTAATCAATGGGAATTTCAGGATCCTAAAATGGAGGTACTGTACCATATAAGGCCATATTTTCTGGGGATATTCCCTTACATAGGCCTTATATATGGTAGGTACCTCCAATCTAGGATCCTGAAATGGCCATTGATCTAGTGTCTATCTTAATTTCATCCAGGGTATATCCCACTTCTCACCTTTTCTGGGCCACCCCAACCGTCACCTGTTGGGAACGATTGGGGCGCCTACCCGGCGGCCTGACAGCGGTATGGCTATTGAAAATGGCTCATTTATAGATGATTTAGAGATGATTTATGACTTACCTATTAGAAATGGTGATTTAGCCACTAAAATGATGATTATAGATGATTTGCCTATTAAAAAAAAAAGTGTACTTTACCCATAAAAAATGATGATTTATAGATGGTTTGCCTATGAAAAAATTTGATCTACCAATTTAACATGATGATTTATAGATGATTTGCCCATGAAAAATGGTGATGTTCCAGTTCGCGATCTGTTAAATTATGACGGAAATGATGGGGATACTCATTTCCTCGAAATGAAGGTGGAAACTGATTTCTGGATTTTTGGAATCTTCAGTATCAAGCAACCTGACCTAGGAATCAATCTTGGAATTGTGTGATAGATGGCTTTGTCTAAACATGGGGGATATGCCAACATGATCCAAAATTGCAAATTGAAAAATGGAGAAGGTGGTGATCAACTGCATGATAATTGCAGCAAGCTAAAATCAGTCGTCAACTGGTGGTGCTACTTGCTTGTAGCCAATTCTATGCCAGACATGGGAATCAATATGTCCAAACAATCTTGGTCAAAGCCCCAATCAAAACCAGTGAAAGATGGTGGAAATTCACCTGACCAAAAATAGGGTACCTCAGATCAGGGGGGTTACTCATTGTCCCTATGAAAATTGAATTTTACAAGAATCAATATCTTGGAATCACTGAAGATATCCCTCTGGCAATAAATTTCGGCATCCATCTGGAAATCTATCGTCCAATCACTTCTTTGTACCTGATACCCTCGATTTTCGCGTAAAAAAGCTGGTGATTTTCCACTCTTGTGTGATTCCCAGAGCTTATCGATCTGGGCTGGGCTTCAAACATGACATCTTCCCCCACAGGCCGAGCGTGCGCACCGCCGCGTTCGCGGCTGGCGGCCAGGACCGTTCTCCCTGGCATCACGTCCAGCCATCGATCTATCAGCTATTAGGTTTTTATGATTGCTTGTGTACATTTACATAACATGTCATAATTCGTTATACATAACATATGACATAATGTGGGTAAAACAACAATAAACCACCCATTTGGGAATGGTTTATACCACCTCTAAACATGGTGATTTGGGGGACGGTAAATCACAGTAACTGGGGCATCTCGCTGCAGCCGCTCGCGCGAGCGGCGGCCGTGGTTGGCGCTGTCACCTAAGGGGAAAAATCAACGCTAAAATTGCGATTTGGACAACAAAATTTGGTGGGGAATAGAGTTTATATATATATATGATGTTTACATATAAACAATATCATAGTTTATATAGTTGAATAAACATCATATATATATATGTTTACATAACTATGATGTTGAATCAACAAGAATGTGAAATTTTGAGCAGCAAACAATGGGATTCACCAACAAACATTTGGATTTATCGAGGGAAATTCTGAATAGAAATTTAACGAACAAAGGTTCCTGTGGATGTTCCCTTTAAACAATTCGGGACACAGGCAAGCTGAAAAGACCAATGACCACCCAAGAGTTACAACTGAAAACACCAGGGATGGAGTCAATTAGAATGGTGATTTCACCCACAAGTGCGAGGAGCTTGGGGTAAAGTGAAAGCCTACAAACACCCAATAGGATCAATAGGGGTCCCGCAACATTTCCCTTCAAGAGCAATTCTGGTAGGAAGCCCGGCGACTTCCTCTGGCAGACCTGGAAGACAAAACATTTCGACCGGTTTTGACCATCTTGACCCATCAAATATCAGTCCCCATGATTTCATGTCGTTGTGCAGAAAACCAAAATCTGCAGTTCCAACGGCCTTTAAATTTTGACCCAAGACCATTAAGACAAAGCTGGTGAATTTTATATATTGCCACTCATTGTGTGCACCTGTTTCTGCATTCTTCTCACTCTCCCAGAGTGCACACCTGCAACTCCTGAGGAACATGAAGCCATTAAATGTTCTTTTGGAAAAGAATAACAACCTTCACACATTTTCTCAACAATCTTCCTGAAATTGACACTTGCAGCGACTGGATCACACCATCCCCACCATCCCCTTGACCGGCCGCACCCAGTGGTAGTCTCTACTTGCAGCTCAGAGATTTTCGTGCAGCCCTGCCGTGAGTCAGCCAGATTCAGCGTGCCCTTCTACGGGGATTCAATAGACCTTATGAGACCCTTGTGTCAGCCACGGGAATCCTCAAGAACATCCGGAAACAAATGGTCTCTACATGTCACGAGATAGCTAGTGTAAGGCGAATTGTGGCTAAATCTGTCCAGACCACTCCCAGAATTTCTTCCAAGAATCAACCCAGTTCTAGGCCACTTGCCTTATACATACAATCAAATAATTATGTATGTATATTATATATAGTGTATATATCTATATATATATTGTATATTTATATATAGTGTATATATGTATGTATATATATATATATTTATTGTATTTATATATATATGTTACATACGGTAATATACATTGTAATCATCATGTGGGGTTGAATTTATACCCATCATATTCCATTTTCGCCAGTGACTATAGACTATAACCCCATTTTCAGCCCAAGGCCTTGTCCTGGCGCCGTGCCAGTGCTGGGCGGCGGCACATGGGGCACTTCGTGGCCTTTCCAACGTGGAAACCGGAGATATCAACGGTGGCAACCACAGACCAGGCACGCATTCATGATTCGATGCATACATGTGGATACATGATTCATAAGATTCATGTCATATGCTCATTTGACTTGTTTCATTGAATGTTTTCGTGATTGTTAATTGAACTTCCCAAAACCTCATGGGATCTTCCGATGTTAATTTCAGTGTGGCAATGCTGCCATGCTGTGGGTTTTGAGAACTTCGATCCATAGCGAAATCAGCTCTCACCTCCCGGCTGTTCTGGGTCAGGATCCACTGTTCCAAACAGCTGGCGTGGAAGATGTGGGCACACTTGGGTAGAGGCCTTGCACTTTCCGGCTCAGGGATGATAGGATCCAGAGTGGCTGGATCCTCAAAAAAACAAATCGTTTTTGGAAAGAAAATTTGGCAAAGCTGGTTGAGTAGTTGAGTAGATGTTCCTAACCAGTTTTCAATCGGCCTCACGCGATCGCCAGGCTGGAACTCCTCCTGACGCAGGTGAGCGGCTGGAGTTGGGAAATGTGATTGGCTGGTCAATAATATCATGTAAAACCTATCTCAGATCCACAATTTGCATTTGGGTCGAGCTTGGGTACCCAATAATGATCAAGAATGGGATAATTTACTACTCAAATTCAACAAGAGTTGGCAGTCCATCTCCAATTTTGGCCCGGGCCCATACCTTCTTTCCGGCTTATCTCGGATGATGATACAACTCAGTAAACAGACTCTCGTTGGCTCCATGCACACCACGCACTTCTCATGTTCAGACCTTGGGGGCGCCATGAAGAATAAAGAGGACGAGGACGAGGACTATGATGCTGATGATGCTGCTGGTGGTGCTGGTGGTGGTGATGATGACGATGACGATGACGATGACGAGGAGAAGGAGGAGGAAGAGGAGGAGGATCATGACAATCAAAAAAGCAAAAACTATCAAAACAGTCATAAAAATGATCATGAAAATGATCATGATAAGGATCATGAAACAAGTATGAAAATGATCGTAAAAATGTATGCAAACAACTAAAAAAATGATCACGAAAACGATTCTGAAAACAATAATTGTGAAAGCAATCATAAAGCAATCATGAAAACAATCAAGAAAAGCAGCATGGAAACGATTTTGAACCGATTCATATAACGAGCATTAGAACGATCATGAAAACGATCATGAAAATGATGATCAAAATCCTGATGATGGTGTCTATTTTATCATAGTTTATCACTATGATCCTATGGTGTCTTGGAGACATCAGGACTTGCAGCACATTGCACTATTGCGCGAACGCTATCAGCTTGACACATCCAATTCAGGGCCACGGGCTCCAGATGCATTAACCAAATGAAAGCAACTTGAGGCATGCACGAAATCTCTAACGGCAGGGGTGCTGCAGCAGCCCCTTGGTATGGCTCAATCTCAAAGAGAAACTCTGTGGATGTAAGGCTGTGTCATTTTTTTTGAGGCGGCTTCGACCCACAGTGATGCTATTAGTGATTGAGGCTCATCATCCCATTTCTAAGTGGAAAAACAATAAATGTTTGAAGCCATCAACCAGCTAAGTGTGTTTTGCAATTTAATTTATCCAAAAAAGTTCCTATCAAAGTCGCCAGAAATTGCTACACAAAAACACCCCACGTTTGGAAGGCACCCACACAAAACGCCCCAAGTGAGCTTGGGCTTCCAACCTGCAGCCGGCGCTGCGGGCGCTGCGCCCTCCGGTGGGACCGGGCCCGGTGTGTCAGCTGACTGCGCCTGGTGTGGAATGAAGGGCTGCAAACTAACCTAGCTGATGGGGTTTTCTTGGTTTTTAAATATGTTTTTATCCTGTCACAAAAGGCTTGTACAGACTGTGCAGTGTAAGTTTTGCAGGTGATAAGAATTGACCAGGGATGTACGACCTAATTGTCTAAGGTTTCCCAAAGTACAAGAACAAGGTATGCTGTACATTGACTCAACTGGAAGTACCCGACAATCCAACAGCTTCAGACGAGTTCCTGCACCTCAACCTCTGCAGCATGCGCTTCGGTAGGGGGCTGCGGCTGCATCTGCTGATGCTGTGGCACCGCCTCTGGCAAAGCTGGGCTCCAGGTTTGGAGTCCGATTCTTGGATGCACTGGAGCAAGTTAACAAACTGAAGAGAAACTGAAGGAGCTTGGAAGACGTGGGGGGGAAATAAAAATGAATCTTACAGTCGTCTTATTTCATGATTCAAGAGACTTTCCTATGCTACTACTCATCATCATCATCATCATCATCATCATCATCATCATCACCCCTCATCCTCATTCTTTTCCTCACCCTCATCCTCATCCTTTTCCTCATCCTCATCCTCATCCTCATCCTCAACAACGAAACCTCAAGCAAAGTGGATCTACCCTTCCCCGGCAAGTGTGTAAATCGAAATGCTCTTAGGTACAATAGATCCTCGGACCCTCGGCCCACTCCATGCACTTGCCACAAGCCCCATAGTGGTTGGCTAATCAGGCTGCTAATAATGAGTCCCGGTTGACGGATTGTGATACAGTACTCCCCAATATATAGGATAGTATAGCCCCCTATAACCATGATCGTCAACAGGGGCTTTGAACATTGCTCACCAGGACACCCCAGGACGCCTCAGGTCTCCCGGCTAAACGAACCCCACACAGAAACTGGCGGCTGGAGTTCTGCTGTCTCACGTTGAAGCCCAGGAGAGCAACCAAGGCCTTCCAGGAGCCGGGACAAAATGTCCTCCACTTGGAGAATCAAGCCATTCAAGTTTGGAGGAATGATGTTGTTCATTTTCATCTGGGATTCCTTGTTTGAAGCCTCTAGGCAGTGTTTTCTCCCCGACCGAGTTGCTACCTATTCCCGTGGTGATCGCTGCTGACCTCATGAAAGCTCTCTGGCAAGCTGCCAGGCCCTTGCTCATTGTCGCTGTCTGAAGACTCCCTTAGCGTGGACAACTGGCTCCCTCGGTTCAGTGGAAGAAACTGACTTGACTGTGCCAAAAATTCAACTGGTTGGCGGCGTCAACCCATCCCAGAATCCCAACAAAAATGAAAGCCACCCGAGAATATTCATCATCTGACAGCCCTTGCTTGTCCCAGCTATCCACACCGTTTCTAGGAAGCCACACAGGTTCATGGAACTTGACAGCTCGCCACCCATCAGCCTGGCAGGATCAAATATCGCTCTGGCTGGAAAAAACAAATTCCGCCAAGAAGCATCACTTCACCTATTTCCCAGGTGCCTAGTACGCCGCACCATCCAGGCGCGCGCCCAGCGAGAGCGAAGGCCAAGCCTCCGACTCGATGGTTTGGAAGGAGTTTTGTTAAGCGCAAAATCGGATTCTTGACTAAGGTAAAATGGAGCTTAGAACCGGTAAACTGGGGCTTTGGAATGGTCAATGGTCAAATGGGGCATCGGAATGGTAAAACGGTGAGTAGGAATCTTGGAATGGTAGACTTTGCTTTTTGATGCTTTTTGTACTTTCATCGGGGAAGACAGAGTCAGTCTGGATTCCGTCTAGTCTCCCTGTGGAACTACATGCTAAAATTCAGGCTGTTGGATCCATCGACCCCACGAGCCACCGCAGCCCCGCCCCGCAGCCACCGCCGCCTGTATAATGCACTCCGGAGCTGCACCAGACCTGCAAAAATGCCACGATATGCCACGATATGCCACGATATGCCACGATATGCCACGATATGCCACGATGCTCTCATTTTGGGTCGTCCCGAGCCTGCAACAAGTAGCAAATAAAGAAGCAGCGAGTCCTGGCAGGGCGGCGATAGGGATAGTTCAATGGGACCTATCTGGCCATTTCTATAGAGGAATCAGTTTGAAATTCTGCGGTTTTTCCATTCTACCATCTGAATCGAAATATATCTAAATGATCTATTGCTTAATGTAGATGTGCCCGTGAACCAAAGAAGGAAACACTCGCTTTCTATTGAGGACTTTTTCTCCTCGCATCTAGCCGTCTTACACTGACTAAGAGCAGATTGGAAACATAGGAGTTTCTCTGAAAATAGGGTAGCCCCCTAAATCCACTAGTTTGTCATACATGTTCCCATTCAAATCGTCATAAATGAGGGGTAAAGCCGATTTTCAAAGACACCCATATAATATCTTGTAGATTCTGCAAAAGTGGAATCTTGACGTGAACGGGAAATTGAATGGAACCAGTAAATCACATTCGCGCACAAATTCAAATCTCCCCAATCCCTTTAGCCTCTGCCATTTCTCAAGCATCAAAAACCATCAAGACCATCCATAGTCTTTGAACCCGTCTCTGCCTAAGAATTAGCTCCATGTGCCACCTGGTGCAACATGTCACCACCTTGGCATCATCTGACACCAAGTCCATCAAATGAAGCGAGCTGATCCAGTCGGAGGCCAACAAAAGGACCAACACCATCGCCTCTAAGGCAGATTGGGCAGAGATTGGAACATTTTCCAAACTAAAAAAAACCAGAGATCGAGGTGCCTACTTAGAAGAAATCATAAGGGTATGACTCGGTATGACAGTTTTGATGAAGAAAAATCCTGAGAGGTTTATTGCAAGAAACGATTGGATAGATATCACCTGCATATTAGTTTCACTTTCAATCCGTGAAACACGGGCAGTTGGTATCACCTCTTCCAAGCAGGACTGCAAACCTCCCAAAGCATTTGCAACCAGCAGTCAGATCTTGAGTCTGATCTTTTGGAATCAGGCCGAAATGCCAAACTCTCCAGGTTGATGAAAATCAGCAGCTTTTCGTAAAAGTAATGGACGCTTTTCATTGTTTTGCTTTGTAAATTTGCCATAAATTTAAGATCAGATTCCACCTGCTTCAAGCCCCGGAGCCTGAGCCAACCTTTGGCTGGCCAAGCAATGACACATGATGCAGAACTTCAAGCTGATCAGCACGCACCCTGGCAGTAGGGTTTTCACTGGCTCACGGCACCATTTCAGGATGAAAAAGTTTGAGGATAGCATGGTAAGAGTTGAGAAAACCTAGGAGTCAGAAAGTCACAAATCAACACAAATCATATCTCATGGCCATGTGGTTGCGCACATCTCGACTCTCCATCCTTACGTTTGAATGGATTCCCATGGTAAAATCGTCAACATTCACCAGCTCCATCCGTCGCCTCCACAAACCAACAGGCCAATCATGGCCGTCTGCGGAAACATCCAGTTGTAGGGAAGGCAAAGGTCCACCTCGACACGGTGACACCGGGTGACACCGGGTGACACCCAGGCACTGACAAAAATGCCAGCCGGGAGAATTTCCAGCCTGGAGGGACACTAGCAGCATGGGGACCCCAATGAAAATCACGCGAGAGAAGAGCCTGATCGGATCGATCGCATGTCATATATGTAATGGACTTGGAGCAGAGTCCAGCGCTAAATTTGTTCATGGTCTTTTCAGGTCTTTTCCAACAAAACTTGGGGTCACAAGTCACGAATTGAACACACCAAAAATTGACCAAAATGGGACACTCGAGGAGCTGGCCAGTGAAGCATCAGAGCAGGTGACAACGGACAGCCCTGGCGAATGGTTTCAGAGACTTCCACTTGGCATGACTCCTGGTTTTTCGGAAAATTAGGTAGATTGTGAGTAAGGCCTTCACAAACACTAAGTTGAGAGTGTCCAAGTTTTGGTCTTCTGTGCAGCCAGCTTTCCAACCTTCTCAGAAACTGACAGGACCCTCAGGGTTCTTTGCCTCTGAGAGTCCGCATAGGCAAGGATCAAATTCTGCGACTCTTGCGATCTCATTCAGTACTGAAACCATGTTTAGTAAACCGTGGGAAGTGCATTCCAAGGATTGGCCATGATTGGCCAAACCCTGTCTGGTTGGTACAACGCTTGATCACCGCTAATGGATGCTTCGAGCGCAAAATTCTTGCCACAAACAGGGCTTGCTGGTGATGGTTCCAACCGCGGTGCTCTTGAGCATTGAAGCCCAAGAGTTCGTTTGTTGAAGCTGTCCTACCATTGGAAAAAACTACAGTGTCCACGTTGCCTGCTAGAAGTCCCACACCCTTTGAGTTTGCATTGAACAAGCAGCTTGGACATATCAGTATTGCTGTGTTGAAGGGATTCCTCCATCACCTTTCGTCACCTTTCGATGGCACGCTTTGGAGCGAAGGAGAGCTGTGCCATCGCGGTCGCATCAGCTCTAACAGCCCAAAAAGTCAGCGATGGCGAGCCAGGGAGACACATGATCTGCCAGCAAAATGGGAATCGGTCAAAACCGTGGTATTCACTGTGAACACTGTGAACATATGTGAACATCTCAAACATCGCTACATTAATGAAGAGACTGCGGTCTATGTTGGGATGTTCACCAGATATATCAATGGCATTCAATGGCTGGGTGAGTTGGTACCATATTGACCCTCAAAGTCTAAACTCTCAATGGAATGTGTGGAAATCACATTTAATGTGCCGCTCTCGCCACCCACAACCGACCTCATCACAGGGATGAACAAGGTTCGTTTAAAGTACTACGCCATACGAGCCACTTAGGACTCGAAACTAGATTTTGCAAACGATGAGACTTATTGACTTATTGGACAATGTGGCAATGCTGGAAAAAACATGCCATGCTACTGGGTTTGCCATGCTGGGAAAAGGCTGGAACTCTCGACAGCATTTCTTCCTCAACAAGGAGACAACATGAGACAACCATTGTCTGAATGCGAACCAGAAACAAGCTGTGAACCAGAAGCGAAGAATCCCTGGAAGCACTTGTGTTGCTGGGTCGTACAAAACCTCTGTGCCAATCGTTACAGGGGATGGTCCTGCTGATTCTTTGATCTTGAATCTCAATCTTGCTACACTGCCACACTGCACACAGTCACTCAGCTGGCTCCATGTGTTAGAAGTCAGCATGTTGCAACTCCTGCACTTTGCAAATTCGAAGCTGATAAAGAACTGACCATGAAAAAAGGGTTTCTTGTTCCACGCAAGTGCATTCTGGACACACAGAAGCTTCCAAGCTGGTGATTTTGCAGCTGCTTGCGATTTACTTCCACAAGTTTCCAGTTTCGAGCTGTCCTCAGTGAAAGTCCCCTTTGGGCCAGTGGGGAAAGAAGATTCGTGGATCGAAATCACAAGTCCTCAGTGCGGGTAGACTTTGGAAGCTGCTCCCCGTCCACAACCCGACATAACCCAGATCTCCCAGGTCCTCAGGTGATTGGATCATTCTCCATTCGCATCTGTCGAGTAAAGCCAAGTGACGGATCTTCCAGGTAAGGATGATCTGGATATTTGTCCATGAACTTTTTCAGGGTGATGTCTATGCGCCTCGTAGCTGATCATAGCTGGTCGTAGCTGATCGTGCTCTGAAATGCATGGCGAAACAAAAAATCCTTTTGCCGGCAAAGGAATCAAACAAACCAAGGAGTAAGAGCCACAAGCAGTTTAAAAAAAGACCCTTGTCGTCATCATCTTCATCATCATGATAATATGTTTGCCGTTTGCCTTTTTTTCTCCTGATCCTTGATTTTCTTCTTTTTCTTACTCCTCTTCTTCCTCTTTTTCCTGTTCGTCTTCCTCTTCTTCCTCTTCTTCCTCTTCTTCTTCCTCTTCTTCCTCTTCTTTCTCTTCCTCCTCTTCTTCTTCCTCTTCTTCCTCTTCTTCCTCTTCTTCCTGCTCTTCCTCCTCGTCCTTCTCTTCCTCCTCCTCTTCTTCTTTTTCTTTGTTTTCTTTGCTTTCTTATTTTTCTTTTGTTCTTCCTCTTCTTCCTTCTTCTTCTTCTTCTTCCTTCTCCTTCTTCTTACCATTATTACTATTATCATTATTGTTATTGTTACTATTGTTATTACTATCATTATATATTATTATTTCTACTTTTACTATTAGTAGTCTTCATCTTTCTCACATTCCAGGTTGACAGTATTCCTGGCATTAATTACAGAAACGGGCATGATATACCCATTTCACCTGACATCATCATCTCATCCACACTGCACCAGGCTGTCGCAGCAATTTGACGCCACCGGATCCACCTCTGATTAGCGTCAGTGGAGTTGATGTTATCCCAGAAGTGCAGCATCTTTCCCTGGCGAATAATTCAGAAATTCAGACTGTAATGATTTAATGATCAGTTGTATGTGTGAATCTTTGACTAGTAGTTGACAGAATTATGATCATAATTTTCTGGTCTCGACATGATGAATTTTGAAGCCAAATGATTTGATCATTGGATTCACCGATCTATATTAATCTATCTGTTCTCGCAGAAATGCTCAACCAGTGCCTACTTTTTCAGTGCACAACTCTATTTGAACCCAACTGCTACAGCTACAGCATCCAGCCTTGTCGGCGCTGCGGCTATACTCATAGCCACCCTTCTTCATGAGATCATCAAAGCTGCTAATGCCTGCAGGACCGAACTCAGCATGCCTAAGTTGCACCTTTGATTTTGGGATCTTGGAGTTTCTCGAATGGCTTTGGTACCTGAACATTTAGGGGAACAACAAAGGAAACTAATTTATCATTGCTTTCGCTATCAAAATGGCAATATGGGTGTATATACCATTCTCAAACGGACCCCACATGAGAGATCGCACCTTCCAGCTCATCGATGCTAATCTCTCCAACCTTTTTGTATGTGTAGGTGCAGTCGATCTCCCCTGTGGGTTCTTCGACTCCTCAGGCAAAGTAGTTGCAAAGTCTTGAGAAAAACAGAGCAAGTTACAAGAAGACGTGCTAACTAGCTAATCCGCATCGGTGTGGAAGTCTTCCGGACATGTTCTCAGGTGTGGCAAGCCATAGCAAGCCGTAGCAAGCCCTTGAGGGAAGCCAGAAACCCACACAAACATCGACATCCGTCAGATCTGGGGCACCCTGGCCGTCTGGGCAGGCACCACTGGGCTCCCGTAGGGCGCATCCCTTGTCTTTGGCCCAAAACCTGGTGGTTTTTCATCTGAGTCTGGATGGGCCATCAATAAACTTACGTATATTACATATATAATTATAGTATATATATATATTACACATATAAACATAAATATATTCATACAAATGAAAATATATTACATATAGATTTACAAATATGTATACATGTGTGTATACATACATAGGCATCCATGTATTTTTTCTCTGATAACTTCAAGCTGCCCTCACACTGGGCCACCCTGACTTTTTGGAGGAACATGCGCCAGGCAAACTGTACCAGGCAGCATCTCAGCGTGGCTGGTCGAGTGTGCCACCTCCCTGTGGTTGAGATGGATTCCCAAGTGGCTTACTGCCAAAAAGGGCTGAAATCTCTGGGTCACTACGGTCCCGAGATGCAAAGAGCATTCTGTGAGCTGGTCTATTTGACGTTTTGTACATCCACCTGAATAGTTTTTTAGCCAGACTTCATCCCTACCTCTTGTACAATTGTACAATGCATGTCTTACAGAGTTCAACTGGGGTCAAAGTGGTAAAAGTCGCCATGCTTCCTCCACCTCTCCAGTTCCTGTTCTGGCTCTGAACGCAAACTTCTGAGAATCCCTGGCGTGGGTACTTCACACGATGGAACCTCAGCGGCTCAAATAATAGGCCCCAAAATATCCCAAAATCTCATGGTCAATCGGGTCAATCGGGTCAATCGGGTCAATCATATTGAATCATCATATATTCCAAATGGCCGTGGGTCTTATCCAGGATTCTGACACAAGAACCTCCGCAAAGGTGAGTCGGATCAAAAGGCCGGAGGAAGTGTTTTCAGCCCAAGACCTATGTATGAATACGTATATACATATACATATATATAATATGTATATATATATGTGTGATATATATATATATACATATATATTATGTATATGTATTGTATACATATATGTTGTACATTATAGACTACCATCTCAGGAATTCAAGCCATTTGAAACACACCAGTCACGACTCTACCGCGAGCGAGGCTCCACTCCTCGTGAGGGAAGTGGCTCATTTTGCCCTCATCCCAGGTTTCGCAACCAACCTTTGCAGGCGATCGAGACTTCGAGAGTTCCCAAAAATCCGCCTGAATTGTCGTTAACCAGTTAACCAGCCTGAAACAAGGAAAAATTAGGGGATGATTCTCCTTTCCCTAGCCACAGTGACATCCATTGGTGGCATCTCTGGGCTGGGACCCGTGCGGTGGGGCCGTAGTGCTTGATGTTTTGGCACTTGAAGGGTCCAGTGCACTCCCCCAGGTCATAGGCGTTCACGATTCCGAATGTGAGACCTTTGTTCCAGAGCCTCGGAAAATCGTGGTGAAATACTGCCTGAATGATGTGAACTGCCTGAGTTTCCTGGATACTTTGCACTGGATTTCAGTGGCCCAATAGAAGCTGGGTGCACAGACTGACAGGTGGGTCGCATCTTTATCCTCCACTGCTCCAAGCGCGTCTTGGGGGTGCTTGAGAAGCTTCCCACCTCATAGCTGGCTGTTTCCATAGAGGATGCCGGGAAATTGGCAAGAATGGGTTACTTTCACGGGCCAAATGGATTACGTTCTGGGATTTATGCTAGGTGATTTGCGGCGGAAATGGAAACTACGCTGGCTTTCTCCATGACTTGTCCAATATAATCCAATATCATGGGGATTGCGATCCAATTTCCGTTGCCTTAATCTAGTACAGGACAAACCCATCGAAAACATGGATCCCCGAATCTGAAAATGTACTAATCATCTGTTGCACATGCCGGTCAATTGATTCCATTAATGCATATGATGCCCATCCTAGACTTGCCAAACAGGCAAACTGGGATGCCGAGTGGCCCTGATCCAGTGATGCCAAATAATCTCGTTGTGCAAATACCAGAGCATTCCACCTAGAGCACCGCGGTCACCCAACATCAACACGTATCAACAAATATCAAATTCTTCAAGCAGCACGTTCCCACGCCTATGTTCGCCATGTCCTGGTTCACCGGAGAATAGTTCTCATCAGTCTGGGCTCGGTACATGTAGAAGTCCAGCAATGGGGCGTCAGGACATCCTCTCTTCTCCCATTCATCAGTGGTTTTCTGGGCTTCCTTGGTGGCGTCCTTTCGCGACCACGAGAAGCCTGGGGGAGCTACAGAAGCTTTGACCATCACTGACCAAGATGCTGCTGCCCGGCCTGAGGTCTCATCCGAAGCGCCAACCTCAGGACGTGGCAGATGTGGATGTTGTGGTTGTGTTTATATGTGTTTATGATATTATTATTCTTACTGCTATTGTTCCTTCTTCTTTTCCTTCTTCTTCGTCTCCTTATTTTCTTCTTCTCATTGTCCTTCTTCTTCTTTTTCTTCTTCTTCTTCTTCTTATTCTTCTTCTTCTTCTTCTGTTTTTCCTTCTTCTTCTTCTTCTGTTGTTCCTTCTTCTTCTTCTGTTTTTCCTTCTTCTTCTTCTTATTATTATTCTTATTATCATTTACTATTATTATTATTATCCTCCTCCATTTTTTTATGCTTTATTGCTCTTCTTTTTCTCCTTAATGGGTTTTCTTATTGTTCATTATCATAATAAAACTTGAGGCCGGGGGTGGATGACGAAAGCTAGCGGGGTAGGAGAAAGAAGGAAGGGAAGAGGTGAGTTGCGGAGGGACTGTCATCATCGTGTCGCGGCATTGTTCGTCCCAACGAGGATGCAACAATGATATATTGATATATGATATATAACAATGATATATATGGGGGAGGGGGCAGGGGGGGGCCCTTTCGCGGGAAAAATCACGTGATGTACTTGGGGAGCCCCGGAATACGTGTTAAAGCAAGAAGACTCTAGCGAGCTGACGCTAGCTTTCGTGATAATGACAATAATTGCCAATAATGATAAAATGTAATTGAATAACGATGATGATGATGATGATGATGATGATGATGATGATGATGATGAATGATGAATGATGAATGATGAATGATGAATGATGAATGATGAATGATGAATGATGAATGATGAATGATGAATGATGAATGATGAATGATGATGATGATGATGATGATGATGATGACTAGGATGATGATGATGATGATGATGATGACGATGATGATGACGATGACGATGACGATGACGAGGACGATGACGAGGACGACGACGACGACGACGACGACGATGATGATGATGATGATGACGAGGACGAGGACGATGGAGAGGACGATGACGATGATGATGACGATGATGATGACGATGATGATGACGATGATGATGATGATCGTGATGATGATGGTGATGGTGGTGGTGGTGGGGGAGGGGGGGGGCCCCTTTCGCGTGAAAAATCACGTGATGTCCTTGAGCAGCCCCCCCAATACTTGCTAAAGCAAGAAGACTCCAGCTAGCTGACGCTAGCTTTCGTGAATAATCATCATCTGCTTCTTCATCATCTTCTTCATCTTCATCATCTTCATCATCTTCATCATCTTCATCATCTTCATCATCTTCTCATCTTCATCTTCCCCTCATGATCATATTAAACATCGGCTTTGCAACAACTCTTGCACACTGTTGACTCTGTCAGCCTGGGTTTTCCAACGGTGGCATCACGACCAAATACAAGCGGGATTTTTGGAATCCTTGCAGCGGAAAGACGAGGCCAGAACAATGGTTGCCATTTCCAATGCATCCAGGCGGCCACCAAGAAACCACGCCCACCTGGTTCAAAGAAGGCAAAAGCCGTTCTGGAAAGTTCTGGAAGGTATTGTGGTTCGACAGATCAGCTTCGTTTCTCAGACCCTTCGTGGAACATCGCCCACTCTGTTTCGCACTGCATGTATCTTTGTCATATGTTCATGCATACATGTACACATCTCTGCACATGTGAATATTTTTACGTACATGTTACATATGTCTCAAAACGCAAAACGTCTTTCTGTAAATCAAGCAAACTCAGGTCCTCGTTCCCTTTGGTTAACTTGTCTTTAGCCTCTCACTTCATTTCAGTTGCCATACATTTGCCCGTCCCTTCAGGAAAATCGAGGATCAGTTTGGTACCACGCACTATCATTCTAAAAAAAATGTGGTGGTGAGCCCCCCCTTTTTCATCAAGACATCATGGTCCGCAGACCATGGTCCGCCAAGGAGCCAGTAAAAGCGCCGCTGCGATCTTCAAGCGAAATAAGAACCAGATGGACGGTGAGGGCGGCGCCCCTGTGGCAAGATGGCCTAATGGCTGCATCATTCTGCAGCTATTCTGAGGGTCTCAAAATCAGAAGTCCAACTTGAGCTTGGTTGACTCTTCAAAATGTCCACACCATCATGTGAACTTCACATCATATCGGCCATGTGAGTCAAAATCCATTCAAACCCTGTTCACACCAAAATAGCATAGCTGGGATTATTTATGGATGTTCATCAGGTTCATCCAAAAAAATATGGTAATGATAGGTTTGGACGTTTGGACCCATCCCTGGACCCTCCGTAAAGGCCTTCGATCAGTTCCTGACGCTCGGGATCCTCGCCATGTCGGAACAACGGGACATGGGGATTTCATGGGTCTTAATGGGAACTTAGTGGATTTTTGTGGGGATTCGCTTTTAGTGGGGGATTCTTCACTCTGTTAGTAGGATCCCAACTTCTCTCTTTCTTGGGGTTGCTGTGTTGGATATAATATATATAATATTATGTATATATATACATAAATTTATATATTTGGGGTACCCAGTCTTCCAGTCCTAACACTTCGATCGCCATATGTTGGTCAACTGACACTCTGAAAACCTACCGCTATTCATTGACAGCAACATGGCTGTGCAACAACACAATGTGTTGTTAGAGGAACTATTTTCACAAAGAGCTTTGATGAATCATTGATGTAGGTTCCAGTGCCGGAATCCCAGAAAAGGGTGTTTGTCGCTACATTTCTGTTTTTTTTGGTTGTCAAGGTCAAATGACCAAGTTGATTGGCCTGCTCAGTACCTACTGTATCTTCATCAGAAATCCTGCGAGACTTGATGATCGGCTGATATGCGCCTCCACCAACACTCGCGAATCAGCTGGGGCCACCATCGGAAAGTCTTTTCTCTTGTCTCTGTTGAGACCGCCAAACAATTGAATGGACAAAAGAGGTCCGTGAGTTGGAGGGTGAATGATTCAGTCAATGACGTCGAAGAAGTGTGAAAATAACCTGTTAACACTCGTCAAGACGGCCAAGAGTAGCCATAAAAGACTCTCTGAGCCCATAAGTCCGCAGAAAACTCGAAGTGCGAAGTGCACACATGAGGCGAGCTCGGGCTGTGTCTTTCTCAGTACCCTGTACCATACTAACCTGTTGATAATAATCCAGTCAACACACTGGCTCTACATCCTACTCCCAGATACTTGTTAAGCACAGCCGTCCACGTCCCACCACGGGTTAGTGAGAAAATGAGAAAAGTATGCTCTCTTTTCACAAACGCGACTGAATTCAGATAGTTTGTTGCGCAGGAACAGCAACCAATCACATGTGACGAACTGCGTGCCTCCTGAACCCAATCAGGATCACTGGCAGCCAAGCGTGTCCGCCCTGACAACAAGGCCCTGAGATCGTCAACAGATGTTTTCACCACGCGGAGAATCCCAGCAGGAAGAGCAGTCCCCTCAACTGCGGCTATCCCATCCATTTTTTTAAGGCAACAGCACAACAATCCAACAGTTCGCCACCCACACCGAACTCCATATGCTAACAACCAAAGACCGCAAGATCTGGGCCATCGCACAGCACTACGGCCAAAGGCATTCCACTCCACCACGTGATCTGCTTGGCTCAAACACCAACAGTGTAACAGGCCAAAATCACCACATTCAACAGGTCCAACTCCAAATCAACAAGGGTAGCTGGTCTTGTCACAAGACCAGGAAACTTCGCGCCTCATAGCGAGACAATTGCAGGCCGAGAATCTGGCACGGGATCAAGTCAGAGGGGGAATGGACACAGAAAGGTGGCTTTCCCCGCCCAAGTTATGACTGAGGGGCAACACCATTGTCGCTGGAAAAAACTGTTGGATAAATTCAAGACTATCACCAGAAAATGTCCCACTTGGCATCAAAGGCAGGTGGCAAGGAGTACAATTCTGAGACGGTGAAATGGTTTGCGCATGTCAATGGGCCTCACCATGGGTAAAGCCATTAGTGTTGCTTTACCATCATGGCATTCTCAAAAGTGGAGCAGCAGAATGGGTTTGTCTGAAAAGAGAATACCCCGGATACACCTAATTCCACTTGTGAATCATAATCTTCCTCTTTAAACTACAGTTTACCCCATTTTCAAACACAACCAAACGAATCTTCAAATTTGGATACTTTGGCGGCGGCGCACCGTGAGAAGCACAGGGTTGAAGATCCACACGGAAGCCTGGAAGCCAACCAACGCACTAAGTCATTGCCGCTCAGTCAGCTGCAAATGGAAATGTGTGCACGAAACATCTTGGAAACCGAAATATCTTTGAGCAGAAAGATTGCTACCCATACGCATAATAAACATCGTGAACCGATGGATTCTTTTGTCCGCCATGGGTGCTGAAGCATCCGTAGTCCGGCAAACGACGACGGCTGAAAGAAAACACGTGAAAGCACAAACTGTTGGATTCTCTGATTTTGTTCTACACTGTCTACAAACTCTCCCTGACTTTCGTACTGGTTCCAGATGTATTTATGTGTGTGGTGACGCCATTGTGGCCGAGGGCCCCTTACACGTCTTCTAGTAATTCGGTGTGCGTTGGCACTGTTCGGTTGGCATGTGATCCGCTTCAGAAGTTCTTTGAATACGTCCTACAAATTTGGCACGTTTGCCCCAAAGGAGGTCAGAGAAAAGTTTAATATGTTTGCCACTGATTTTGGACGCTCTTCGCAAGACGAACTCATTTGTGCTGTTACGGTTGATGAATGTAGGTTCTCACCGTAAAATCTTCCGCAGCTCTTTGAGCTGGAATGCATTGATTTTCTTTGTACACTCTGAGTGAGGTGCATGTTCTCCAGTCCATACAAAAGTTTGTTTCGGGTGATAACGTCATACACTTCGATTTTCCATGCCGCAGTACAAGTTGCTGCTCTCCAGAAAGTACTGAGATTGCACCAGGTCTGCACGACTAGTTGCAATTTCAAGTCGAGATCTTATCTGATATTCATGGGCTGGGAGAAATGATGGCCCAAGTAAACGACGGTTTCCGTTTTTCTTTGTAATTTGACACCATCGTGAAAATTGACTTGGTTATTCCCATTCATGGCCATAAAGCAACACTTTCCTCTGTTCAAACGGAGGCCGTATTGCATAGACACTTCTTCTATTTCTTTCAAAAGTCTGTCTGCCGCGTAAGAACTTGTAGTAATCAAAAAGTGTGTCATCTGCAAAATACAGTCTGTCAAACGATACCCGATTCAATCTAGCATTGACTGTGCGTCGGTGCGTCTATCCAGGTTTAAACCCACGTCTCTGTCAATAAGCGACACAATTTGTGCACAAATAAAAACGGGGGAAGGGGGCATCCCGGGCATCCCTGCTTAATCCCTGACGATTGGGTTTTCATAGCTGATTCCCTGAATTCATCCGTTTGGAGTAGTTTGGAGTAACAATGTGTGGTCCGACTTTCCTTTGAACCCAAATATCAGGTCACCCGTGCCCAGAAGCTGGCATCATGTTGCTGGTCGATCTGAAAGAGATTCCAAGATTGGCATGTAAAGGATGGCCCATGGATGGCCCCAATATGCACCAGCTAGTCAGCTCTATATAGATTTGGGTCAAAATTGAGCATCCCAAATTTTGGATTCATACTACGAGTTACTAAAATGTGCGTATACATTGAGAACGGGTCAGTGGACCCTCCTCATAAACTGCTATTCACATCCAAGAATGGTCATCATTTTGGATTGTGTTCAAAACCACGCAAAAGATTTGGATGCTTTGTGGCTATTCGGTGATTATTGGGTTTTGACTCAGACCCATATGTATGTATGCATGTATGCATGTATGTATAATCCTGATTGCCTACATAGAATATGCACTTTTTCAACGCTTCGGGTGTCGACGGAAAAAAAGAAACTTAGAATATTTGGGGTAGAAATAGTTGGGGTAGAATTTTGGAGTGCACAACCAGAGCCAAAGCAAATACCCTAGGAACAACGATTTTTCCATATCGCAAACAGGTGTGAAACCCAGCAGTTTGGTCATTTTTCAAGTTCTATCAATTGCAGAAATTGGAAAAAGCAAGAAAAATGGAGACACGAGAAAATATAAGCGGACACCCTCAAAATAACAATACGTCAATAACTTTTGGATCAGGATTGTGGAAAGAAATGGGTTTCCTAAATAGACCCTTTTTTGACTACTTTCACATTAAAGAAGGCAATTTGAAGTTCACAAAAGGGTCCCCCCACAAATTACCAAATTAAGGCTGCGGCAATCCATGCCTCTGTCAAAAACCTGGGAAAAAAAAAAACGAAAAATCATATTCTTAATATTCTAAGTAACGTTTTTTGGTCGATTTCGCAGATGCGTTTATTCTAAGTAACGTTTTTTTCCTATTCCGGGAGATGTTTTCTGAGGCCGAAATTATCGATTCTATATTTTATGTATCCCATCAAGATTAAATTTAATTCTAAAGACCTATGTATCTATCTATCTATCTATCTATCTATCCATCCATCCATCCATCCATCCACCCACCCATCCATCCATCCATCCATCCATCTATCATCTATCCATATATCCATCTTTCCATCCATCCATCTATCCATCTATCCATCTATCCATCTATCCATCTATCCATCTATCCATCTATCCATCTTTCCATCTTTCCATCTATCCATCCATCCATCCATCCATCTATCTATCTATTTATCTATGTATCTATGTATGCATGTATGCATGCATCTATGTTTTTTGGAATGATGGATAGATGGAAAGATGGAAAGATAGATAGATAGATAGATAGATAGATAGATAGATAGATAGATAGATTAGATAGATAGATAGATAGATTGATTGGATTAGATTAGATTAGGTTAGATTAGGTTAGGTTAGATTAGGTTAGATTAGATAGATAGATAGATAGATAGAGACAGATAGAGATAGATGGAGATAGATGGAGATAGATAGAGATAGATAGAGATAGATAGAGATAGATAGAGATAGATAGAGATAGATAGAGATAGATAGAGATAGATAGAGATAGATAGAAATAGACAGAGATAGACAGAGATAGATAGAGACAGACAGAGATAGACAGAGACAGACAGAGACAGATAGAGATAGATAGAGATAGACAGAGACAGATAGATAGAGACAGATAGATAGAGACAGATAGAGATAGATGGAGATAGATGGAGATAGATAGAAATAGATAGAGATAGATAGAGATAGATAGAGATAGATAGAGATAGATAGAGATAGATAGATAGATAGATAGACAAATAGATAGATAGGTAGGCAGGTAGATAGATAGATAGATGGATAGATGGATAGATGGATACAGTAGATGTATAGATGGATAGATGTTGGCATAATTGCATAGGGAGACAGAGAGACATCTGGTACTAGGATAGCATAGGATAGGATAGCATAGGATAGTATGGGATAATAAGATAAGATAAGATAAGATAAGATTGATAGGTAATCAGATAGGTATGTAGATAGGTGAGTAGGTAACTAGGTAGAAAACGTATGTACCGTATGCGGATCATATGCGTTTGAAAATGATCAAATGATCAGCATCTGAGGTCTCGGGCTACAAGAAGCCTCCACTTCCGGGGCGACAGAGAACCTCCAGACGGAGAGGGCAAAAAAACACGCCGTTGTCTTCCTCATTTTCCGAACAGTTTCCCCAGTTTTTCTGAATTTCCACATCTATGTAAACCTTTACCATAGTTTCATCGAGTTTCCTGTTTTCCATATGTTCCATAAAGTGAGTTGCCTCCAAATGAATCGTATATGAAAGTTTATGAACAAAAAAAATAGATGATGAGATGTGATGAGATGATGTAGGGCAATGGGTACCCCCATTTTGGGAAACCTCCATGGATCAACTCGGCACCTCGGTCCAAGCCCCGACACACGGCAGCACCCAGCAACGAGGCACTGCCCACCTGGCGGCGAAGGACGGCGATGATCGTTCCCTGGAAGGGAAAATTCCGAATTTCATCATCAAACATAGCGATTTAACCTTCCAGAATAGTGATTTGATGATGATCAAAAATGGCAATTAAACAATTAAACCATCAAAATACTTATTTTACATGATTTAACCATCAAAATTTTTGATCGGACCCTCGGGCATCAATAAAAAATGTACATTTACATGTTCTGATATGCCGCAGCTCCTCCATTGGATCACATATAACCCACGGGATGATGGTTACAATCACTGTGTCGCGGGTTTGACACAGCCGACCTTCCGTGTCTGGTATTGCAAGTCGTACTTTGGTTTCACAGTGTCAATATTGTTGCCAAAAACAAACGTTGTTGATGCAATGATTGGCACATCTCTGAAAAGGCCTTCCCCACAATGGCGACACAGCACAATTCGTCTGCAATTTTGGATCGGAAAAAACATGCCAGCGAAGCAGTGAAAAGCGTCAACGCACTAACAATGCAAGTTGCCCCACATTTTTTGCGCAGAAGCAATAAGCAAGGCCTCGTAACGAAATGTTTAGCAGGATGCCAAGTTGTCATATCAATTTCACCCCAGATAAAATAAATCAATATAATTTGATGGTTTAGTTCCAAAAATTGTTACTTTTTCAAATGAGAACCAAATTCCTCAGCACCCAACGCAAGCACTGTGCTGCCAAAAAGAACCAGGGCCACCAAAGTGTGCTTCACCAACCGAACCTGCAGTTTCAACTCGCCACTTCGGTCCATGGTTCAATGGCGCAATGTTCAATCATTTTGATGGTCTCACTGATGAGTCTTCCCACCATTGGATCACCCAGCCAATCCAAACATAACTGTAAAATCACATCAATTGTGGTGTAATTTTCCACCAGGGTCACATTCCACATTTTTTTGTGAATTTTCCAGGGATGGTTCGTAGCAATAGACCAATTTTTTTTGGTGCACTGAGTGTGCAGTTTAAGCCATGCCCAACTGAGATCATGACACCCAACCAGGACATGTCACCTTCACCTGCCGTTCCAGTTGAAGGATTTGTTGCTCATGAAATAGGGAAAAAGAAACATTGACAGCATTGGCAAAACGAATTTTCGTGGGAAATCGATGCGTTTTTTCCAAATGATTCAAAACAATTCATTGTTCGTGCTGCGACAAACCCCAATTCTGACTCGAAGCACCTTGAATCAAACTGCCATTGTGCAGGCCATCTAAAAATTACCATCATACCAACAAATATGACACATGGATTTTGAATCATTTTTTATCAAATACTTCGGGAATTGATGTTTTGTTTTTACAGCATAATGATGTTCCAAACAAAATTGTGCCATTGAAAAGCTTAAAATCGCAACGATAGTGTTCTGACCCAATGAATGACGCTATGCAATTTGGAAGTGTTGGTTATGGAAGCTGACAAACGCAAAAACTTTGGCATCGGAGCTTTGCTTGAACCATAACATCGCGGCATGATGATTATGAATTATGATGTTTGATGATGTGAAACATACCAGTCATAAGGGCCCCAAAAAAAAATACAAATTAACATCATGAATATCACAACATGAAACAAGACACGTTATTCACCAATAAAGGTGCTGATATGATTACATTCAATTCAACCAAAATTAAATACGTTTGCTCCCAATATCTGATGGGCACAAATATGTTTCAACATAATTCATTTCCGGGTCAAGGAATTGTATTGCAATGTTGCCCATTTATTCCAAATAAATTCCTATTTTTGTTGCTAAAACAAAATTAGGCGAAAATAAATGTGATGAACATCAGTTTGACAGGTAAATTTCCCAAGTTGGACCGAAAGAACCTTGAAATATCATAATTTTGATCAGTGTATATCTGGTAGGTTCAAACTTAATGGAGGATGGAGGTCAGTTTGGTTCATCAGTGAAGTTGGACAAAAATCCGCGCCGAAATGCCCAGGCATGACCAAAATTGCAGCTGGAGGTTGTTAAACGCATTGTAAGAGCTGCACACAGAGAAGAATTGGGCTGCACGAGCTACAGAAAAACCAGCTGGGAGGCAGAAGTTGCCCAAATTAGTAGTTGTTCAAAGAAGAAGTATGCAGCTGAGAGAAGAGGTGCTTCAGCAAACGGGCCGCTCGGTGAAGAAGTAGTTCTACAAAGAAAAATGTTTCACTCATCAGTCCATCCATCCACCCACCCATCAATTCTTTCATTCGTTCATTCAATTGTTCACACTGAATCATTGATTCATGGTTCATTGATTCAATGCTTCGTTGATTCACTGATTCATTGATTCATTGGTTCAATGTTTCATTGGCTGGCTGATTCTGTGATTCACTGGTTCGTTGATTCATTGATTCGTTGTTTCATTGACCCATTGGTTCGTTGATTCGTTGATTCGTTCATTCATTGATTCATTGTTGCACTGGTTCAATGATTCATTGAATCATCGCATCACTGATTCATCAGTTCATTGATTCACTGATTCGTTGATTCGTTGGTTCGCTGCTTCATGGGTTCATTATTTCGAAGATTTATTGATTCATTGATTCGTTGCTTTGTTGCTTCATGGGTTCATTGACTCGCTGTGTCATTGATTCATCGACTCACTTCACTACTGCACACATTCATTGTTTCATTGGTTCATTGCTTCATTGATTCACTGATTTCTTGATTCATTGATTGATTGGTTCCATCTTCTGATTCAGTGATTCATTGCTTCGTTCCTTCATCGATACACTGATTCATCGACTCATTGTCAGTGGTTCACAGATTCATCGTCCCATTGGTTCATTGATTCATGGATTCTTTCATGTGATCTCATTGGCATCTCAACAACCATTCGTTGATGCACTTCACAACTTCAGCACTTCGTTGTTTCTGCATCTCAAAAACTTTCCCATAGGCCATTTTCTTCCTATAAAGGCTTTAATTTTCGAAACTCCCGCCCCGGCACGGGCCAAACACTGCCTGGCAGTTCAGGGGCCGATGCAAGGAATGGTCAACTGGTGCAGTTTTAGCGGGGTGAAGCAATTTTTTTAGGATCGCACCTGAAACAATAACACCCAAACAGAAAAGGAAACAAAACCAGAAAGCAAGAAGCAGAATCAAACCAAAAACAGAACAAAAACAACCGCCAACACAGGTCATAGCCATAGCGACAGTAACCGCATGCATGCAAGCCCGGCTCTCAAAACACGTTGGTGAGGGCAAATGATGCACGAGATGTCATTCCAAGTCAGCAGGGCATGTGTCACAGATTGGATGGCCACTAGACAGTCATTCTGACAATCTGATAGCTTGTGTTCTTCTCAAAGCAAAAGTATGTCCAGTGTAGCAAATGAGCATGGTTTGATGTTGAAAACCTTTCTGCAATCGAGAACCTTGGTGCCAATGTTGCAAACCAAGGGTACACTGCGTCAGCAGCCGTTTGCCAAAGTCTTTGCCAAAGTCTGGGTATGGCAGTAAGCAGCGTAGAGATGGAAAGGGCCAACAATCAGCAAAGACAGCAAAGTGTGCGAATGATAAAGTTTCGATCTCCTTAGATCAAACTCCCCAAGTTCGGAAATCAGAACCTCAAATACCTAAAACGAAGTTTCTCCTTCGACTCCTAAGCACAAGCGCCAGCTTCAATCTTTTGCTCGGACACACACAGGAGTCAGATCCTCTCAGGCAGGACACACCTGCAAGAGAGAGAGAGGGAGAGAAGAAACCTCAAGCGAAAACCAAACAACAGAAGCGAAAGCAGCTGAATGTTGGTTTGTGATACACAGTTCATCTTGACATCAAGACTCCCTTGAGCCAATGTCTGAAATGGAAACGCAATTCCAGGTTCAAAAATCACGATCTTTCCTAAAAGATCGACTGCACAATTCCACATTGCGTTGATCACAAATTCAGCTAGCTACTAAGGCATGATCTACTTCCAAAAGTTCTCAAATACTCTTGGTTCTCATCCAAACGTGTATAACCAGAGTTCTTCACACTCAAGAACGAAGCAGATGATTACAACTGTTCTATACAGAGTTGTTCTGGTTTACAAAACTTCCACAAAACTCCTTCAAACATGAAGTTCGATCTCCAATAGCATCTCACTCGGCCAAAATAGTTCCAGCTTCATGAAAGGCAATGGAGAGCAGAAGTTCTGCTCTACATTACAGGTCTCCAGCAACACCAGTTTGGAATATATCGTTGGAATCGCCAAACAACCACGTAATGCAGAAACACCAGACAAAGAAATACGCGACCCAAACCAAGTGTTCCAATCGCAGTAGAGTTGGTGTCCAAGGTCATCTCTCACAGATTATACTTGGCACCAACCAATCACAGCAATAAAGGTCAATCACCTTGATCAGCGTTGACAAATAGTCAGTGTTCTGCTAATGGAGCGACAGGCTCCATAATATGGTACCACGTCATCACGGAACGTGATGACGGTTAAAAATGTCAGAGATAAGCTATTGCATTTCAGCCAAAGCGTCTGATTCTCACACCAAATGCAGATGCAAATGCATCATTCTGCAGCAAATCATCCAGTTAAGATAGCCGCGGTAGCCAAACCGCTTCAATCCAGCTGATTTAAATCCACCATACGCAGAAATGAACACATCCCACGATAGGACTTCTCGTGGTGAGCCTCGTTAGCACAACCACATCTTCATGCAGAAAAAATACACTCCACCATGGAGAGCAAGGTGTAGAAACCCAGGGATCGTTTAGACATTGTATTGTGGGCGGCGTCCACAGGATATGGATGTTTCCACACCCCCTTTCGACGTCCACAATCAATATTGCAAACTGATATCCTGGACGTAGAACTTAGTCACCGCCAGAGCACCGAGTTTGCAAAGTGTGAATGTCCAAAAGGTCCCAGTGCATTGTGCCTGAAGTCCTTCCAATTGTGCACTGTTCCAGAAGGACCAAAATAAAATTCCTGAAAATGTACGTATCAATACAGCGTGAACAAGAGAACAATCGAATTCTCCCACGAGCCACACGATCAGATAGCTGCATCCATATGACCCGTCGCCTTTGACTTCATCCGCCTCCAACGAAGACGGCATAAGACGTACTTCTGAGCTTTGAAACCAGTAACACTGCCACCAAAAATTCTCAAAGCTGATAACTGCGCCTCCATCTCCAGAAAACAGTTCCAAAAATTCCAGTCAGTCCACAGATGGCACACAAACCAAAACCATGGCTTCGATCGGAATTCACTACGGTGTTGTTGCAAAAGAGAGAAAGAGAAGATCCCCAGAGCACACACACACACACACTTGCTCAGAAACATCTTATCGAATTACTGATGTGGAATGCATCGTACGTGCAAAAAACCAGTAAACCTGACAGGACATGGTGAATGACCAGGCGTGAGAAACAGTGTAGAAGAATTCTGCCGCTGAAACTGTAACAACGTAGTGGATAGTGTGATCAACAGTTAAAAACTATCTGTAGGTACACAACTGGGTGTCCCCAGTTGCTTCCCCTTCAGTGACATAGCTTCGTTGGGCAAGGTAGTCACTGAAGGCCTTGCCCCCCTGCTTTTGTTGGAAAATCAAATGAAAAAGCCAAAAAGGCAATGTCAAATTGGAAAACCATTGAAGCACATCATCAAGCAAGTTAGAAGTTTTACATCTTTTCAGATGGTCCACACACACACACCCTCCCGCAGGAGGGTGGGACATTAAGGTCCCGACAATGAGATGAAAATGAAGAGGAAGGGAAATGAAGATGAGGTGAAGATGACAATGAGATGAAAGTTACTTAACCAGGACGCAAAGAGGGGAACGCAAAAGAAGAGGGAAAGAGCAAACACCAACACATGAAACCTAGCCCAGAACGGGCAACCCTGGAAAGGCAAGGGAAAAGAAAAGCGGAGGCCGACGGAAAACGGAACAAGACCAGCGGAGGAGGGGGAGGACAGAAGCGCCTGAACCAACCTGACACGGCGAAAACCTACAACAACCTCAGCACGCAACGGGCCAAACCTACCTGGAGAGAGGAGAACGCAAGAACACAT